CTCCGTTTCCCGCTCCTTTCCTCGGAGAACGTCCACATCTTTGCCATCATTTCAAGATATTTTTCTCTTTCACAGAAAAATATATAAAGTAACTTTTTGGAAGAAATTGTGCCAGGATAAAAGTGCAGATATAAAGTGGAATCTGATGAACCTTTTCCCCATAAATTTGCATATTTCGGCTGTGGAACAAGAAGTGCTTCTAAAACGTCTTTTGGTTATTATTTATTAAGACTATTATGGCATAAAACAGAAAATAAAGGTAGTGAGGAAAAGGGAAAGGAAGGGGAAGGAGAAGCAGGGGATAAAGGGCAAAGGAGCAGGGGAAGTGGGCCCTCCCTTCTTGATTAATCTTCTAATTAAGTCATTTAGGGAGAATTCCAGAATCCCCTCCAGATGAAATGGGGAGGAATCCCTGGTCCTCTCCAGCCTTTTCCTCCATGAAATGGGTCTATTTTCCCTCTGTCTGTCCTGCCTATCAACTACACCCCTGCAGTGTGGGCCTGCCTTGGGGGAGGGGGTTGAAAGGGAATAAATACATGTTATTTTCCCTGGAGCTGCATCGAGAGAATCCAGGATAGGATGGGTGTTGCTCGGTTCTGCCTGGAGACGGAGCACGTGATCATAATTTGCACATGTAGTCCCTCCTTTCTCGCCTGGTGCTTCCCCAGTTTGGCTCAGTCTTCAGCGCAGAGAGACGTGTTTGAATGAGCAGCTTCACCTTTCATTCTGTGATCATCTAAGCGTGAGCTTTCGAAGAGATTTATTATTGTAATTATGAGGATCGCTTTTGCGATCAGGCTGCTAGCTGGTCCGCTGGTTAGCGGCCTTGTGCCGACTTTTCTACAGCCGAGGTCCCCGCCAGGTTCTGAAGGCCCTGGCTGAATCCCTGCGTCTGGCACCACATCTTCTCCAGCCTCCTCATTGTTTGACTCGAGTGCCAGCTGCACAGGGTGAACTGCACCACACCAGCCTCCTCGTTGTCAGAATCAGGAGATAAAATCAAAACCCTCGACTGGAAGGTGCAACTGAAGAAGTTTAATGTGGAGGAAATACGCAGCTGCTATCCAGTGGAAGAGGGAGATACAACAGATACAACAGTTTGGACACAAACTGTTAGTTTTATATCCATATAAATGAATTTAAGATTCGCAGCAGAGAAGACAGTCAGGAACATCCTGAGGTAAATCTCAAACGGCGCCCAGAAGGAAAAGGCGGGAAAAAGGGAAACGCCCCCTTTCCACCCGCAGCAACCAATCAGAGCGCAGATCCCCTCAGCCACAACGGGGTCTTCGCGACCATTGGATACTTAACCTTCTTCAGCCATTAAATTGAATATCTTCACATTTAAAGTGTTCAAAGGAAACAGATGTAAAACGACTTTGCTTTTGTCCATTAGATGGAATTGTCAGGTTGGAATAATTGTTTTTTTTCCTTGCACTGTGCTAAAAAGAAGTCAATGTCTTTTTTTCCTTTTTTTCTTGTACCTCAAACTTTCTTTTCCCCTCTTTTTCTCCTTTCCTTAATTTCCTATTTCTATTTTTCTTTGTGTTTTGTATAATAAATAAGACCTGGAGACTCTAGAAAGAGTGCAGAGAAAAGCAACAAAGATGGAGGCAAAAACATATTTAAAAAACTTGGTTCCTGGAACTGGGTATTTTCTAGTCTGATGAAAAGAAGGAGGAGGGCAGACATGATGGCACTTTCTGATATCTCAGCGGCTGCCAGAAAGAATATTTTCTCTTCTCTTCTCTTCTCTTCTCTTCTCTTCTCTTCTCTTCTCTTCTCTTCTCTTCTCTTCTCTTCCCTTCCTTCCCTCCCTCCCCCCTCCCCTCCTCTCCCCTTCCCTTCCCTTCCCTTCCATTCCATAAATAAGAAGCAGACCGAATGAAAGAGGTAGAGGTGGAGTTCCATTATACGTATATAAGAAATAATCAACAGCTCTAGAAATGCAACAGAAGAAAGGCGAAAACTTCCTTCAATGCATTTGGGTTCATATAAAAGGGGGAAAAGAAGCACAGACATCGAAGCCTTTGTCTGACAGGGAGCTGTTGGGAGGGGCCTTTCCTCCCTCTCCCAAGCCCATCCTCCCCGCCCTCTCCCTTCCCCCTCCCATTCACTCCTCTTTCCCGCCCTTTCTACGATTTTTTTTTTTTTTTAATTTGATTTATATGCCGCCCTTCTCCGAAGACTCAGGGCGGCTTACAATGTGCTCAGCAATAGCCTTCATCCTTTTGTATATTTATACAAAGTCAGCTTATTGCCCCCACAACTGGGTCCTCAATTTACCTACCTTAGAAAGGATGGAAGGCTGAGTCAACCTTGAGCCTTGGCGAGATTCGAACCCTGCAGTAATTGCAGGCAGCTGGTCTTAATAACCAGCTTAATAACAGGGTGCCTTAAACCCCTGTACTACCAAGGCTCTACGATCCTGGCACTTTGCCCCAAATCCACCAGGGGGCGCCCTCTGCCAAGGGAAGGTGACTCCAGGCACTTCCCCATTGGTCCACTGGAGCCTTGCCTCTCTAGGACTTAGGGAGAGGCTCCGGGTGAGTCTAGCGTTTCTTTTTCTTTCCTTCTCAGATACCGAAACTGGAAGCCATTTGTGGTCTTTGCAAGGCAAACTTTCCTCTTGGGGGAAGAAGAAAAAGAGCGGAATCCCTTGCAGGGATCAGTCCTGCAGCCCCAGAAATGGTCCCGTGAAGGAAAAGGCATCTGGAGACCCACCAGAGTCCTTGGAGCCATTTGCAGTTGCTCTGCAGGACAGAGAAAGGATGGAGACACAACCTTTTGGAAAGGAGGGAGCCCGAAAAGGCCCTTCAGCTGCTCAGCCTGGAAGGGGGCAAAGCTCTGGACAAGAACTGGGCAGAAGATCCTGGAGGAGGAAACCATCCTCCCTTCAGAAGTTCAGCCCTGGAACTCCATCCAATACCTGGAGGCTGAGGGTCCCCGAGGACTCTGCAGCCAACTCCATGGCTTTTCCAGGCGATGGCTGAGACCAGAAAAGCACACCAAAGCCCAGATGCTGGACCTGGTGGTTCTGGAGCAGCTCCTGTTCCTTCTGCCCCCAGAGATGGAGAGCTGGGTGCGGGAGTGTGGAGCAGAGACCAGCTCCCAGGCGGTGGCTCTGGCGGAAGGCCTCCTCCTGAGCCAGGCGGAGGAGCAGAAGGAGCAGATCCAGTTGCAGGTGAGAGACTTTAGGGAGCTCAGAAGGGAATAGAGAAAGTGCTTGAATACTTCACCCCTCCTTCCCAAACTTCTCTGGCATTCATCATATGTGGCAATTCACCAATTCTTGTAGGACATTGTTCCATTGTTTTCTCACTCAACCTCACGGATGGATATTGGGGGCTTTGAGGTTGTGTTCTGAATATAAGAATCCACTTTACGTCGTGTAATGTACATTAATTCTGCTTCTTTTTTCCTTCCTCCTACTGGAAGTGCTGCACTGTGGAGATCAGAGATCCTGAGGGAAAGAAGAACCCATCAAATCCCCCTCAGGAGCTATTTTTCAGGAGGATCCCTTGGGAAGATCCGAGTCAGGACATCTCAGGAGGTAATGGAAGATCCTCCAATTTCCCATCAGTCTTAAATTCTCTTCTATAGAATATCTCCTATTTTGTTAATGATGCATTTTGAAATTATTTATTCCTTACAGAGAAACAAAGAATGAAGCTTTCTGGTTTTTATGATGGAAATCAAACAGTGGTTGACCCTCCAAATCAGGTAAGAAAGGGAAAAGTGATTAGATTTCTATTTTTCCTTCAGGAAGTGAAGTGGGTGTGCAGAGAGCTCCCTCCTTCTATTTCCCCCCCCCCTTGTTTGGCCTAGATTATTTTTGTGTTCTTCCACATGGAGAGCAGAATAGCATTTTCAAGTTCCTGTCAGCCAGCATAGCTTCCTCTGGTTATCTTGCTCTGCTAGGTACTCCTCCAACTTTGAGTTTATAAGAAGCAATTTTTAAAAAGTCCTTCAAGAGTAAACGTATCACAGTGGCAGGAACTGCTAGAGACCCTTTTTGGGGGAGAATTCTTTGACTCGGAATTGTGCAAGGCTAATGAAAAATAACTAAATACTCAAATTACCTCATTACCATTTTTAAAAAGCCTTTATAACCAGTAGTTCAAAAATAAGCAAATTGTATTAAAAAATAAAGCCGACTATTGAAATCCAAAGGGAGTGGCCCTGTTGAGCATGTAATCCAGGTACTCTGGGCTACAAAATAATTTCCAATCCTCTTATTTGAACCTCGATTAGGAGATCAAACATTCCCGCTTTGCAAAGGCTGAGAAATGAATTTCCCAGAGAATTTTCTCTTCTTTGTTTTCTTCCTTTCAGCCAATGGCTCAGACTACTAGATCAATCAATGATAGACAGAGCGATAGATCAGTTAATCCAGAAGTGGGATTACTTTTACTTTTACTTTTATTATATTTATATACCGAAAATTGGGTATTTTCTAGTCTGATGAAAAGAAGGAGGAGGGCAGACATGATGGCATCTTCTGATATCTCAGCGGCTGCCAGAAAGAATATTTATTTTATTTTTTCTCTTCTCTTCTCTTCTCTTCTCTTCTCTTCTCTTCTCTTCTCTTCTCTTCTCTTTCCTTCCTTTCCCTTCCCTTCCCTTCCCTTCCATAAATAAGAAGCAGGCCGAATGAAAGAGGTAGAGGTGGAGTTCCATTATATGTATATAAGAAATAATCAACAGCTCTAGAAACGCAACAGAAGAAAGGCAAAAACTTCCTTCAATGCATTTGGGTTGATATAAAAGGGGGAAAAGAAGCACAGACATTGAAGCCTTTGTCTGACAGAGAGCCGTTGGGAGGGGCCTTTCCTCCCACTCCCAAGCCCATCCTCCCCGCCCTCTCCCTTCCCCCTCCCATTCACTCCTCTTTCCCGCCCTTTCTACGATCCTGGCACTTTGCACCAAATCCACCAGGGGGCGCCCTCTGCCAAGGGAAGGTGACTCCAGGCACTTCCCCATTGGTCCACTGGAGCCTTGCCTCTCTAGGACTTATGGAGAGGCTCCGGGTGAGTCTAGCGTTTCTTTTTCTTCCCATCTCAGATACCGAAACTGGAAGCCATTTGTGGTCTTTGCAAGGCAAACTTTACTCTTGGGGGGAGAAGAAAAAGAGCGGAATCCCTTGCAGGGATCAGTCCTGCAGCACCAGAAATGGTCCCGTGAAGGAAAAGGCATCTGGAGACCCACCAGAGTCCTTGGAGCCATTTGCAGTTGCTCTGCAGGACAGAGAAAGGATGGAGACACAACCTTTTGGAAAGGAGGGAGCTGGAAAAGGCCCTTCAGCTGCTCAGCCTGGGAAGGGGGCGAAGCTCTGGACAAGACCCTGGCAGAAGATCCTGGAGGAGGAAACCATCCTCCCTTCAGAAGTTCAGCCCTGGACCTCCATCCAATACTGGGAGGCTGAGGGTCCCCGAGGACTTTGCCGCCGACTCCATGGCTTTTGCAGGCAATGGCTGAGACCAGAGAAGAACACCAAAGCCCAGATGCTGGACCTGGTGGTTCTGGAGCAGCTCCTGTTCCTTCTGCCCCCAGAGATGGAGAGGTGGGTGCGGGAGTGTGGAGCAGAGACCAGCTCCCAGGCAGTGGCTCTGGCGGAAGGCTTCCTCCTGAGCCAGGCAGAGGAGCAGAAGGAGCAGGTCGAATTGCAGGTAAGAGTTCAAAAGAGAATAGAGAATGTGTTTGAATACTTTACCCTTCCTTCCCAAACTTCTGTAACATTCATAATATGTGGCAATGTCCCACCTATTCTTGTAGGACATTGTTCCATTGTTTCTCATTCAACCTCACGGATGGATATTGGGGTCTTTGAGGTGGCGTTCTGAATATAGGAATCCACTTTACGTCGCGTGATGTACATTAATTCTGCTTCTTCCTCCTACTGGAAGTGCTGCACTGTGGAGATCAGAGATCCTGAGGGAAAGAAGAACCCATCAAATCCCCCTCAGGAGCTGTTCTTCAGGTGGATCCCTTGGGAAGATCCAAGTCAGGACATCTCAGGAGGTAATGGAAGATCCTCCGATTTCCCATCAGTCTTAACTTCGCTCTCTCTTCTCTTCTATAGAATATCTCCTATTTTGTTAATTATGGATTTTGAAATTATTTATTCCTTACAGAGAAACAAAGAATGAAGCTTTCTGGTTTTTATGACGGGGATCAAACAGTGGTTGAATCTCCAAATCAAGTAAGAAAGGGAAAAGATATTAGATTTCTATTCTCCCTTCGGGAAGTGAAGTGGGTGTGCAGAGGGCTCCCTCCTTCTATTTCCCCCCCCTTGTTTGGCCTGGATTATTTTTCTCTTCTTCCACAACATGGAGAGCAGAATGGCAGGTTCAAGTTCCTGTCAGCCAGCATAGCTTCCTCTGGTTATCTTGCTCTGCTAGGTACTCCTCCAACTTTGAGTTTATAAGAAGCAATTTTTAAAAAGTCCTTCAAGAGTAAACGTATCGCAGTGACAGTAACTGCTAGAGACCCTTTTTGGGGGAGAATTCTTTGACTCGGAATTGTGCAAGGCTAATGAAAAATAACTAAATACCCAAATTACCTCATTACCATTTTTAAAAAGCCTTTATAACCAGTAGTTCAAAAATAAGCAAATTGTATTAAAAAATAAAGCCGACTATTAAAATCCAAAGGGAGTGGCCCTGTTGAACATGTAATCCAGGTACTCTGGGCTACAAAATAATTTCCAATCCTCTGACTTGAGCCTCGATTAGGAGATCAAACATTCCCACTTTGCAAAGGCTGAGGAATGAATTTCCCAGGGAATTTTCTCTTTATTTGTTTTCTTCCTTTCAGCCAATGGCTCAGACTACTAGATCAATCAATGATAGACAGAGCGATAGATCAGTTGATCCAGAAGTGGGATTACTTTTACTTTTACTTTTACTTTTATTATATTTATATACCGTCCTTCTCCTGAAGGACTCAGGACAGCCCTCTCTGTGGGAGCGTAATGGTCGGTGGGAGGCAATCGGTGGCAGAATGCGGATGTAGATAACCAAGTCCTAAGCCATGGAGCGCTTTAAAGGTGGTAACTAACACCTTGAAATGCACCCGGAAGACCACCAGGAGCCAGTGCAGCTTGCGCAAGAGGGGTGTTACATGGGAACGACGAGTCGCCCCCATTATTACTCGCGCAGCTGCATTCTGGACCAATTGGAGCCTCTGGGTGCTCCTCAAGGGGAGCCCCATGTAGAGAGCATTACAATAGTCCAGACGGGAAGTGATGAGGGCGTGAGTGACTGTGTGCATGGCGTCCCGATCCAGAAATGGACGCAACTCGGAGATCAGGCGAATCTGATAAAAAGCCCCCCTGGCCACGGCCGTCTTATGATCATCCAAAGACAGCTGTGAATCCAGGAGGATGCCCAAGTTGCGAGCCCTCTCTGAGGGGGGTAAGATCTCATCCCCAATAGCCAGCGATGGTGTTAGCTGACTATATCGGGCTGTTGGAAGCCACAGCCACTCAGTCTTGGAGGGGTTGAGTCTGAGCCTGTTCCTCCCCATCCAGATCTGCACTGCCTCCAGGCAACGGGACATCACGTCAAGGGCATTATTGGGGTGGCCTGAGGTTGAAATGTACAACTGCGTGTCATCAGCATAATGTTAAACAGGAGGGGCGAGAGGACTGACCCTTGCGGCACCCCACAAGTGAGGAACTTCGAGGTCGATCTCTGCCCCTCCCGTCAACACAGACTGCGTGTGGTCAGAGAGGAAGGAGGAGAACCACCGTAGCATGGTGCCCCCCACTCCGACCCCCTCTAGCCGACACAGCATGATACCATGATCAATGGTATCAAAAGCCGCTGAGAGATCTAGGAGGACCAGGACAGAGGAGCAACCCCTGTCCCAAGCCCTCCAGAGATCATCAACCAATGCGATCAATGCTGTTTCCGTGCTGTAACCCGTCCTGAAGCCCAACTGGCATGGATCTAGATAGACAGCTTCATCCAGGAATCGAGGAAGTTGTCTCGCCACCGCACTCTCAACAACCTTCGCCGTGAAGCGGAGGTTGGAGACAGGATGATAATTAGCTAATACAGCCGGGTCCAGGGAAGGCTTCTTGAGGAGGGGCCTCACCACCGCCTGTTTCAGGGCGGATGGGAAGACACCCTCACTCAACGAAGCGTTGGTAATCTCCTGAAACCAGCCTCGGGTAACCTCCCGGGAGGCCAGCACCAACCAGGAGGGACACGGGTCCAGTAAACGTGGTAGCGTTAAGCCTCCCCAAAATCCTGTCCACGTCCTCAGGAGTCACATGGTCAAACGCCTCCCAGATAACACTCTCAAGACTCACCTCCGTCATCTGGTCCAAGGCTATCCAATCAGAGTACAGGCCGCCCCGAATCTGAGCAATTTTATCATGCAGGTATTGTCCAAAATCCTCAGCTCTACCCTGCAAGGGTTCCTCCCTCCCTCCCACCTGTAATAGAGAGCGGGTCACCCTGAACAGGGCAGTTGGGCGGTTCTCTGCAGATGCAATAAGAGTGGAAAAATAGTTAGATTTTGCCATTCTTATTGCCACTCGTTAGGTCTTGATATAAGACCTCACCAGTGTTCGGTCAGATTCAGTGCGGCTAGACCTCCAATCGGTCTCTAGGCGTCTTTTCCGGCGCTTCATCTCTCTCAGCTCCTCAGAGAACCAAGGAGCCAATTGAGAACGGCACCGAGTCAGAGGCCGCAAAGGCGCGATGCGGTCCAAGTCTCCGGCGGCTGCCCTGTCCCAGGCGGCCAACAGTTCCTCAGCTGAGCTGTGAGTCAGAGCCTCTGGGAATGGCCCAAGCTCCGTCAGGAACCTCTCGGGGTCCATCAGGCACCTGGGATGGAACCACCTGGTCGGTTCCGTCTCCCTGCGGCGAGGGGCAGCAGTCCGAAAGTCCAGCTGAAGGAGCGAATGATCTGTCCATGACAAGGACTTAATGACTAGGTCCCCTATTGTAAGATCATTCAACCACTGACCAGAGACAAAAATCAAGTCCAGCGTGTGTCCCCAGTGTGGGTGGGGTCATGAACTAACTGGGTCAGGTCCATGGCCGTCATGGAAGCCATGAATTGCCGAGCCGCTTCCGACGTTTCACAGATGGATGGCAGGTTGAAATCCCCCATGACCATAAGCCTGGGGATATCCACCGCCACCCCGGCTATTACGTCGAGGAGCTCAGGCAGGGCAGCTGCTACGTGGCAGGGAGCCAGGTACGTAGTCAGCAAACCCATTTGCACCCCATGACCCCACTTCACAAGGAGGGATTCACAGCCAGCTATCTGAGGAACAGTGGCCTCACTGTTCAGATTACTTTACTGAAGGACACTGAAGGTTTTGCAGAATCAATGAACTTGATAAAACTTCCCCAAATATTTCTTCAGTGAAAGTAGTTCAGATTTGCTCACTTTCTCACCTAATATTAGGACTTGTGCAGTGGTGGGATTCAATTTTTTTAACAACTGGTTCTATGGGTGTGGCTTAGTTGGGGTGTGGCTTGGTGATCATGTGACTGGGTAGATGTGGCTATCTGGTCATGTGACCGGGTGGGCGTGGCTATGTGCATAGGGACCAACTCTGTAATTCTGGTATTGGCAAGCAAGCACAGTTAAGCTACTTAAATCCTCCAGAGCAGGGGTCCCCAACCTTTTGGACCCCAGGGACCACCAAGTTCATAATTTTAAATTTCGCGGACCACTAATCCGATTCCAGCGCGCCACTTGCTAAAGCACCTGGAATCCCAGTGACAGGATAGGGTCCTTCAGGCACTCTCCCCCCTCTTTCTCTCTCCCCCCTCATTCTCTCTTTCTCTCCCCCCTTTCTCTCTCTCCCCCACTCTTTCTCTCTCTTTCTCTCTCCCCCTCTTTCTCTCTCTCTCCCACTCTTTCTCATTCTTTCCCTCCCCCCTCTCTCATTCTTTCTCTCCCCCTCTTTCTCTCTCCCCCTCTTTCTCTCTCTCTCCCCCTCTTCCTCTCTCCCCCTCTTTCTCTCATTCTCTTTCTCTCTCCCCCCTCTCATTCATTCTCTCTCCTCCTCTTTCTCTTTCTCCCCCTCTCTCCCAATCTTTCCCTCTCATTCTCTCTTTCTCTTCCCCCCTCTTTCTCTCTCCCCCCTCATTCTCTTTCTCTCCCCCCTCTTTCTCTCTCCCTCTCCCCCACTCTCTCTCTCATTCTCTCTTTCTCTCCTCCTCTTTCTCTCTCTCTCCCCCACTCTCTCATTCTCTCTTTCTCTCCCCCTTCTCTCTCTCCCCCACTCTTTCTCTCTCTTTCTCTCTCCCCCTCTTTCTCTTTCCCTCCCCCTTTCTCCCATTCTCTTTCTCCCCCTTCTCTCTCTCCCACTCTTTCTCTCTCCCTCTCCCCCTCTTTCTCTCATTCTCTTTCTCTCTCCCCCCCTCTTTCTCTCTCTCCTCCACTCTCCCCCACTCTCTCTCTCTCTCATTCACGTGCAGGTGGCCGATCTAGTGTCTGCAATGGAGAGCACAATCCGGCTTCTTCTCTCTGCTGTAAGTGCAGCATCAGGATTCCACCTTGGTATATTTGTGGTGCAAGGTAGCCCTCGTTTCCTACTCGGAGCGGTAAACAGCATCTGGTTCGGGGAGCAGCCGGATTTTGCTCTCCATTGCTCTCTCAGCCCCCTGCAAGTTCTCATCTCTCGAGAAGCCCAACCAAAGTTTCCCGCACCACTTCAGGGAGCGCTCCTCGAGAGATGAGAGCTTCCTAGAGAGCAATGGAGCAATGGAGAGCAAAATCCGGCTGCTTCCCGAACAAGACACTGTTTACCGCTCCGAGTCCCAAGCGGCAGGAGATGAGGGCTGCCTTGTGCCGCAAATATACCAAGGTGGAATCCTGACGCCGCACTTACAGCGGAGAGAAGAAGCCACATTTTGCTCTCCATTGCAGACACCAGATCGTATTGCACCACCTGCAAAAATTTCCAAATGTAGCTCTGCCCTCTAACAGCCCTCCTGATGTTCAACTGTTGTCTCTCAAGGAGGATACTTGGCCATCTTCATGCTTGAAAGGATTCTACAGTGTAACAGCAGATGTCTCCCACCTTGGCAGCTTTAAGACTTGTGGACTTCAACTCCCAGAATTCTCCACAATTCCCCAGAATGGGCTAGGCGGGAGTTGAAGTCCACAGGTTGTAAAAGAGCCACAAATGCCCAGCCCTGGGCTAGGGTAGGCTGACGCGACGCAGGTGGGAGGAGGGGCGGTCGAGCTAGCAATTTAACAAAAGGTTCGGTGTGCTGCGAGGCCAATAAATTGCAAAAAAACACCGAAACGTTTGTTAAATTGCAATAAATTGCAAAAAAACACCGAACCATTTGTTAAAGAGCCTTGGTAGTACAGTGGTCTAAAGCACCCTGTTATTAAGACCAGCTGCCTGCAATTACTGCAGGTTCGAATCTCGCCAGGCTCAAGGTTGACTCAGCCTTCCATCCTTTCTAAGGTAGGTAAATTGAGGACCCAGTTGTGGGGGCAATAAGCTGACTTGTATAAATATACAAAAGGATGAAGGCTATTGCTTAGCGCATTGCAAGCCACCCTGAGTCTCCGAAGAAGGGCGGCATATAAATCAAATTAAAAAAAAAAAATTACTGGCCAGCAATTTAACAAACAGTTCAGCCGAACCGCCTAGAACCGGCAGAATCACACCACTGGACTTGTGTGATGCACAGCCATTTAACTTGGTGCACATCTTTACTTTGGGAATTTGGGAACAATGAAACAGAATAACAGAGTTTATAGGGAACTTGGAGGTCTTCTAGTCCAACCCCCTGCTCAGACAGAAAGCCCTATAACATTTCAGATAAATGGCTGTCCAATTTCTTCATAAACACCTCCAGTGTTGGAGCACCCACAATTTCTGGAGGCAAGTCATTCCACTGATTGTTCTCAATGTCAGGAAATTCCTCTTTACTTGTAGGTTGGTTCTCTCCTTGAATCGTTTCCATCCATTGCTTCTTGGAACACTTCTATCATGTCACCCCATCTAGTCCTTCTTTTCATGAAACCAGACTCACCCAATTCCAGCAACCGTTCTTTATATATTTTAGCCTCCAGTCCACTAATAAATTTTGTTGCTCTTCTCTGCACTCTTTCTAGAGCCTCAAGACCTTTTTTACATCTGGCAACCAAAACTGGATGCAATATTCCAAGTGGGGTCTTCCCAAGGCCTTTTAAAGTGGTACTAACACTTCATGTCATCTTGATTCCGTCCCTCTTAATGCAGCCTATGATTCTGTTGCGTTTTTTTCTTTCTTTTTGGCAACTGTAGCCTACTGCTGACTCATGTTTAAGTGGATGTCCACTAGGACTCCAAGACCCCTGTTGCCCTTACTACTCTTCAGCCAGGTATCACTTCTTCTGTGCCAGTCCATTTGGTTTCTCTTTCCTAAATGTGGAACCTTACATTTCTCAATGTTGATTTCATTTTTTTAGATGGGGCCTAATCTGTTGATCCTTCTGTATCTTGAGTGTTGCTATTCCTGTCAATTTGGTCTTGTCTGCCAATTTGATGAGTTCCCCTTCTTCTATCCCCTTGTCTAAATCATTGATGAAGATGAACAGATCTTGTGAATCCTCCTGTTCTGTTCTGTTTTTTCCGTGTTCAGGAGAGTCTTGTGTCCTTCGAGGAGGTGGCTGTGTCTTTCTCTGAGGAGGAGTGGTCTCTGCTGGATCCTGACCAGAAAGCCCTGCATTCGGAAGTCATGCTTGAAAACCATAGGAACGTGGCCTCTCTGGGTAAGAGTTCTCTAGTCCCCAATCAGAGAGTTCAAGAAGACAAATTATAGTTAGTTTTTTTATTAAAAAACCACTAATCAGATATCGTCTCCTGGGAGGGAGAAGGAAAGGATCTTCTCGTGCTCCAAAGAAGGAAAGAGTCAATGTCTCTTTGCTTAGATGCTTTCTGTGCCATTTCTTATCTCTATTTTTCCATTTCTATTTATTTATTTATCAAATATCAAATATTTGAACTTATCTGTGGGGGTATTGCAGAAAATCAAAGGACTCAGACTTCGAGATCAAGAGAAGCTTTATTTGGTCAAATATTGCATTCAGTTTTGGTCGCCACGATGTAAAAAAGATGTCGAGACTTTAGAAAAAGTGCAGAGAAGAGCAATGAAGAGGATTAGGGGACTGGAGGCTAAAACAAAGAACAGTTGCAGGAACTGGGTATGTCTAGTTTAATGGAAAGAAGGACTGGGGTGACATGATAGCAGTGTTCCAATATCTCAGGGGCTGCCCCAAAGAAGAGGAAGTCAAGCTATTCTCCAAAGCACCTGAGGGTTGGACAAGAAGCAATGGGTGGAAGCTAAGGAGCCTTGGTGGTGCAGCAGACTAAAGTGCTGTTAAAGTAGCACTTAGCTGCCAGCTGCCTGCAATTACTGCGAGTTCAATTCTCACCAGGCTCAAGGTTGACTCAGCCTTCCATCCTTCCGAGGTAGGTAAAACGAGGACCCGGATTGTGGGGGCAATAAGCTGACTTTGTATAAATAAGAACACTACTTGGAGGGGGGGGGCGAAAGCCCTACTAAGCAGGTATATACAAAAGTATGAAGGCTATTGCTTAAAAAGCATTGTAAGCCGCCCTGAGTCTCTGGAGAAGGGCGGCATATAAATTGAACCAATAAATAAATATTTAAATAAATAATCAAGGAGAGAAGCAATTTAGAACTAAGGAGAAATTTCCCGACAGTTAGAACAATTAACCAGTGGAACAACCTGCCTCCAGAAGTTGTGAATGCTCCAACACTGGAAGTTTTTAAGAAGATGTTGGATAACCATTTGTCTGAAGTGGTGTAGGGTTTCATGCCTAAGCAGGGGGTTGGACTAGAAGACCTCCAAGGTCCCTTCCAACTCTGTTATTCCGTTCTATTCCTTAACTCAAAACTGAGTGAGGTTTGCATATATATACAGTACCATAGATAATTGTAAAGAAAGAGATGTTTTCTAGACATCTTCAAAGCTTTCATGACTTATGAATATAGAAATCATCATGTTTATATCACACCCCTGGAAGCATGCAAACATACAACCTAATGGAATTATGGAGAAATTCAGAAGGAAATTCACTTGACTTTCTACGCTTTGATCTTTTTCTCTAACCTTGTTATCATTTTCATTTCCCTTTTCTTTTGAAGGTAATAATGGGCAGGAGAATCAAGATTCCTGTGAACTGTTCCAAGTGATCAATGCTAAAGATGGAACGGAGAAGTTTGGAATTCGATTGGAATTCGAAAGCCATGAGAGAAATCAGTCAAAGAATTGGAATCAGGAAAGCTCATCTTCCACTGATGCTCCGATGCAAGACTTTCTTGCCCAAAAAGAGAGAATAAGGAAAAAATATGTTGGGAAAAGTGTGAAGCTAATCAAAGCTAAAGTACAAGTAAATGAACACTATTTAACCCAAAACAAAGGAGAAGATGCTATAAGAAGACACAACAGACAAAATTACAATGGGACATTCATTCTTTCTCTTGGAAATAACTTCCTTACTTCTCCAAAAGCGATTGACACAAAAGAGAAGCCTTATAAATGTTTGGAATGTGGAAAATGTTTTAGGGCAAGCTGGCAACTTACTATCCATAAAAGGATCCACACAGGAGAGAAGCCGTATAAATACACGGAGTGTGGAAAGAGTTTTGTTCTGAAAAATGGACTTAGAAACCACAAGAAGCTCCACTCAGGAGAGAAACCATTTAAATGCATGGAATGTGGAAAGATGTTTGCTCAAAGAAGTGCAGTTGCTTTCCATAAGATCATCCACTCAGGAGAGAAGCCGTTTAAATGCATGGAATGTGGAAAGACCTTTACTCAGAGAGGTAATCTTATTTCCCATAAGATGATCCACACAGGAGAGAAACCATTTAAATGCATGGAATGTGGAAAGACCTTTACTCAGAGAGGTAATCTTATTTTCCATAAAAGGATCCACACAGGGGAGAAGCCGTATAAATGCATGGAGTGTGGAAAGACCTTTGCTCAAAGTAGTCATTTTATTTCCCATAAAAGAATCCACACAGGGGAGAAGCCATATAAATGCATGGAGTGTGGAAAGACTTTTGCATATAGCAATAAACTTAATTCCCATAAAAGAATACACACAGGGGAGAAGCCGTTTAAATGCATGGAATGTGGAAAGACCTTTGCTCAAAGAGGTAATCTTACTTCCCATAAGATCATCCACACAAGGGAGAAGCCGTATAAATGCATGGAGTGCGGAAAGAGGTTTACTCAGAGGACTGGACTTACAAGACACAAAAAGCTCCACTCAGGAGACAAACCATTTAAATGCATGGAATGTGGAAAGACCTTTGCTCGAAGAGGTAATCTTACTTCCCATAAGAAAATCCACACAGGGGAGAAGCCATTTAAATGCATGGAATGTGGAAAGACCTTTGCTCATAGAAGTAATCTTATTTCCCATAAGAGGATCCACACAGGGGAGAAGCCGTATAAATGTATGGAGTGTGGAAAGACGTTTACTCATGGCAGTGGACTTACAAGACACAAAAAGATCCACACAGAAGAGAAACCATTTAAATGCATGGAATGTGGAAAGAGCTTTGCTAAAAGAGATCATCTTATTTCCCATAAGAGGATCCACACAGGGGAGAAGCCATTTAAATGCATGGAATGTGGAAAGACCTTTGCTCTAAGAGGTAATCTTATTTCCCATAAGAGGATCCACACAGGGGAGACGCCATATAAATGCATGGAGTGTGGAAAGAGCTTTGCTCAGAATGGTCCTCTTATTTCTCATAGAAGGATCCATGCTCAGGAGAAACTATATAGCAATAGCGATTCCACTTAGATTTATATGCTACTCCACAATGCTTTACCACTTTATCTCTGAGCAATTTACAAAGTCAGCATATTGTCCCCAGCAATCTGGGTCCTCATTTTAGCGACCTTAGAAATATGAAAGGCCGAATCAACTATTAAAAGTAATCTATATGAGTTCAAGATGTTTTCAATAAAATGCCAATTTGAAACTTTTCAATTTCCACTTATTTAAAATGCTCCATCCATTTTCTTGCTGAAATATTTCTACTCATCCAGAATTTGCATTTCTTGCTCACTCACGATTTTCACTTTGTAAAGCCGCTGCCTTTTTTTTAGCTATTCCACAAAGATCTTTAATGTTCCCAGATGCAAATGGGCTTATGATGAAAAAAACAAGAACCCACACCTGAAATGTTGTTCTTTGTCTGGGTGGCAACCAGATTAGAGCTCTGCTTCAAATTAGAAATAACAAATTGAGCGGTCTTCAGCATTATAGAATTAACAGTTATTAAAAACAATCCCTCAACAGTGAGAAACACTTAGCAAAGTACTCTGAGCTGGAGTGAACCTTTAAAGGACCTTCTCGGGGGACTCACCAGGGGTGGGTACTAAAATTTTTTACTACCAGTTCTGTGGGTGTCGTTTATTTTGTGGGCGTGGCTTGGTGGGAGGTTAATGTAACTGGATGGGCGTGGCCATTTTAAAAAAACTTTTAAACCTTAAGAGGTTGCAGAAAAAATGCTTTTAAAAGCCTCTGACGATCCCAGCTGAGCATTTTTTGGCCGAAGAGGTTGCAGAAAAAATGCTTTTCAAAGTAAAAAAAAAAAGCCTCTGATGAGGTGGGCGGGGTAAGCGAGCGGTAACCGGGCCGGGGACTGGTTCGGGGGCGTGGCCAGCCAATGTTATTACGGGTTCTCCGAACTACCACAAATTTTTACTACCGGTTCTTGCGAACCGGTGCGAACCAGGAGGAAACCACCAGTGGGGCTCCCCCAGATCCTCCCATTAATCCAACTAAGTATTGCGCCAGTTAGAGGATTTGGTGAAGGAGGAGATCAAGAGGGATCCAGTCCAAGGATGTGTGGTGATCCTGGGATCTGCCTGATCTCAGCCTCCATCTGCCCCCACCTTCCCTTTCCCAAGATCCCCCCCCAATCCCTTCCACACTCCCTGCTGCCAGTGGTGGGTTGCCCCCGGTTTGCACCAGTTCTATAGAACCGGTAGTAAAACCGACGGGAGACTCCGCCCACTGACCCCGATGTCACCAAAATGCTTCTGCACCTGTGCAAAAGAGCGCGCGAGCGAAGCGAGTGCACGCAGCCCCGTTGCAAACCGGTAGTAAAGGTAAGTAGAACCCACCCCTGCCACCCTCCTGGGACTCTCAGATTGACAAACTTACTACATTGCAACAGCTTTAACTTGGATCAAAGATTGGATGACACTCGAAGATAAACAAACGCTAGCATTAGAAGGATTTGACCTGTCGAAAGGCTGGCACGCATTCTTATGGGAGGAAAAACCCAGGCAACATGAGCACTTCAGGAGACACTATATCAGAGGAGCACTGGCAAAAATTTGGACTGAAATAAGGAGAAAACACTATGATAAAATCCCAAGATGGTTATCAACCATGGAGGCCCAAATTTATCCGAACACAATGGATATAGACAAGATGAAAACCTATGACGAATTGTTGAACACAGAGGGAGAAATGAAAACAAGAGAAGAATTGAGACAGCAGGGCACGGACATTGATTGGTGGACGTATTTACAGATAAAATCAAGATATAAAATCGACATGAAAAAATTTGGAATCCAAAAAGAAAAAAATGAATTAGATAAAATTATAATGCAATCAGACAATAAATTAATAACTAAAATATATAATTATCTATTAAAATACAAATTGGAAGAAGTGGTGAAGGAAAATATGATTATTTGGGCTAAAAATTTTAGATATAATATTAAGCTAGAAAATTGGGAGAAAATGTGGAAAGTAAATACTAAGCTGACAATGTCCGTGCCCTACAAAGAAAATACCTACAAGATGTTTTATAGGTGGCATCTCCCCCCTGCACGTCTGGCAAGGATGTTCCCCAATGCGAATCAGAACTGTTGGAAGTGTAAAACACAGAAGGGGACCTACTACCATATGTGGTGGTCATGCCCAAAGGTCAAAAAATTTTGGAAAACAATTTAAAATCAGCTGGAAGAAATCACCACCCAAAAAGTGCCCCTCAGACCGGAAACATATCTATTAGGAATACTGACAAAGGACTATAAAAAAGAGACACAATACTTGATAATACATATCCTCACCGCAGCTAGAATCACTTTCGCACAAATGTGGAAACTAGAGAACACGCCATCAGAGGAAAAAATAATACAAAAAACAATGGAATGTGCGGAAATGGACAAACTTACCAAAGAGATACAGGGAAAAGAAGATTCAGACTATTACTTAATTTGGCAGAAATGGTACAACTGGTTAGATAAAAAGAACACGAAATAAGGGAATACCACCCAATGATACAAAAATAAGGAAATAAAATGAAATATCGTTGTATAAACATTGATACATGATGAAAGATAAATATATATAGATATATAACTACCGAAGTAGCTCTATTTTTAAAGTTCAAGTTGTAAGACTTGACCTCTCTGTATAGTTTATGTATAGTTTGTTTAAATGTCTACGTCTGTATATGTATGTTTGTTTATTAAATAAAAAATAATTTAAAAAAAAGAACCCACCCCTGCCACCCCATCCTGGCCAAGCTGCCATCTGGGACTTGGACCCCTCCCTACCTGGAAGGAGGCTGGCCAGCTGCAGGCAGAGCCTGGTCTGGGGGGTCTCCCTTTGCATTCCCCCAAATCCCCCCCTCAGCAAGGATCTTGGCATGGCTCTGCATGGTCAGTCAGTCCCATGTGGCATCTGAAGTAACCAACTGTGTTGGTGGTAGTGGCCTTCATTAGCTTAATCTCCAGCCACTTGGAAAATGCATCTACGATGACCATGAAGGTCTGTCCGTGAAACGGGCCGGCAAAATCTATGTGGATCCTGGACCAGGGTCCCTGTGGTCTTTCCCACTCCCTCACTGGTGCTGTTGGCGGATCTGGCCTAGACTCCTGGCAGGGCTGGCATCTCCCCACCCACTCGGTAATGTCTGCATCCATATTGGGCCACCAGACGTAGCTCCTGGCTAGCCCCTTCATCTGAACAATCCCAGGGTGCCCCTCATGCAACAACATTAACACTTTCTCCCTTAGGCACAAGGGAATAATGACCCGATCGCCCCATAGCAGACACCCCCTTGCATGGTTAGCTCGTCCCGTTTGTTCGCGAACTGTTTAAATTCCCCGCTCCCAATCCTTTCCGGCCACCCCCTCATAACCCAACTTGCGACCGTCCGGATCACGTGGTCCTTGGTTGAAGCTCTCGCTACTTCTGCTGATGTAATGGGTCCTGAGTCCAATACGTCTATCAGCAGGATTGGAATGCCGGGTGTGGGGTCCTCTAGGTTGTCGGGTAGTTGGCATCGGCTGAGTGCGTCCGCGTTGCCCATGTCCGCCCCTGGTCAATGTACCAGGCAATATGAGTATGCTGCGAGTATGATCCTGATAGGTTCCAGATGGAGCTTGGGCCATTTCCTGAGACTCTGACTCATGGCTTGGCTGAGGATCTGGTGGCCGCCTGGGATAGGGCGGCCGCTGATGCTTTGGACCGAGTCGTGCCTGTGCGGCCTCTGACCTGTCGCCGAGTCTACCTGGCTCCTTGGTTCTCCGAGGAGCTGAGGGGGATGAAGCGCCAGAAAAGACGCCTAGAGAGCAGTTGGAGATCTAGTCGCTCCGAATCCGACCGAACACTGGTAAGATCTCATATTAAGACTTACCTAGTGGCGATAAAAGCGGCAAAATGTAACTATTTTTCCGCTCTTATCGCATCGGCAGATAATCGCCCGGCCGCCCTGTTTAGGCTGACCCGTTCCCTCCTTCATCTGGGAGCGCGGGAGGATCCCTTGCAGGGTCGTGCCGAGGATTTTGTCCAGTATCTGCACGATAAAGTCACTCAGATTCGGGAAGGCTTGGTCTCTGACTCGGTAGGTACAGACGGGATGATGGGTGTCGGTCTTGAGACTGCCATTTGGGAGGAGTTCGACCCTGTTGCTCCCAAGAACATGGACAGGATACTGGGGCGGCTGAACGCGACCACATGTTTATTGGACCCGTGTCCCTCCTGGTTGGTGCTGGCCTCCCGGGAGGTTACGCGAGGCTAGCTCCAGGGTATTATCAATGCTTCTTTGAGCGAGGGTGTCTTGCCATCCGCCTTGAAAGAGGCGGTGGTGAGGCCCCTCCTCAAGAAGCCTGCTCTGGATCCGGCTGTTTTGGCTAACTATTGTCCGGTCTCCAACCTCAATCAATCAATCAAACTTTTCTCAGTGACTCTGTTGTAACTTTGAACAGTCACTAAATCAATTGTTCTAAGCCGAGGACTTATCTGTACTATCCTCCATTCTGTGCCAGCTCCATCCTCATGCTTTGCAATTGTCTTTTTGGTGACAGAGAAATCATGCTTCAAATTTTTCACTTTCGTCTTTTTTCTTTAAAAGTGACCCCCAAACCTTGCGAATGGGGGTCACTCCGGGATCGAAGGCACCAGGTTAGAAGGGAGGTGGATTCCCAACAGTACAATGAGAGATTATGCAAATCCTGCAGGAATGATGTAAGCGGGATCAAGTTGATCTCTGAATTCACTTCTAACTCGTCTGGAGAGTCAGAGTGACATCACAGAGGCTCCTAGTCCTTGAAGACCTGGAGAGGGATTAGCTGAAGGAAGGGGCTGCTTCTGCCCATCCTCCTCCTCCTCTATAATTCCTATGTAGACATGAAGGGGGGGGGAGGCAGAGAAAAAAAAGGCTGGCTAGGCAAGGTGAAAGAAAACAGCTGCAGCAGCTGTTAGACGGGGGATGAAGTAATTCTCCTGGCTGTTTCTTTGCCCTCTCCCTTCTTCTTGCCTCTCCTTTTGTTTCCAAATCCTTGTCTTGGACTTTTGGAGAGGGATTTTTCCACCATGCCTGAAAACCAGGCGTCTTCTCATCCGAAGAAGCGGAAGGAGAAAAACCAGAAAGTCCAGCTGCCTCTTGAAAAAGCACCTTTGGGACATAGAGGTGATACTGTTCTCCAAACCAAAATGCATCCTGCATTCAGGTGAACCCAGATCCTGTCCAGCTCAGGAAAAAAAATGCTCCCGATTGAAGGATACTTAGCCTTTTCTCAGAAGTTCCTTTGTGCACAAGTGCGGAGAGCCTGCGTTTCCATCATCTGTAACACCTTGAGAAATACAGATATTGGTCCCATTTTATAGATAGGAAAGTGAAGCTGGGAGAGAGACCATCGTGTGTGAAGTTTAAAACTAAATCAATTCTTCCTTGAGGATATAGTATCTATTTCAATATGTCCGAAACGACTCCCCCTCCCACTTTCTCCCCTTCTCTCTGCGCCCACCTCTCCTCTAACTCAAGGGATACTCTGCCCGGAGACCGATGACACGGCAGAAGGGAGAACTCCCATTGGTCCTTTTGCTCCTCCTGGCCTCTCCCAATCCCGAAGCTCGCGGAGACCGCTTCCTCCCCCCCATCCAGACCCCGCCCCTGATTCCTCCTCTGGAGCTGCAGCATCGGCTTCTAGATTGGAGCCTTTTCCTCGGACTTTGGACCAATGGGAGTTCTCGCTGCTCCAGCGTCATCGGTCTCCGGGCAGAGTCCCCTGTGATGTCAACTGAAGGAGGAGGAGAGAGAAGCGGGAAAAGTGGGGGAGATTCCCGCCTTCAACCCCCCCCCCCAAAGGCTCCGCTTCCTCCTCTCGTCTCTGGAGGCGAATCTCCCCTCGATCCCTCCATGGAAATGTTTTTTTTCCCTCCTCCTCCCAGTTGAGCTTCATCTCCCTTTTCCACCCTCTTCCTCCCTGAGTTCCTCTCCAGTCAGAGAGGAGGCGCCATTTCCCCCCCTTCGCTTCCCAATGAAGGAGCCTCGTTCTGAGGTAAAATTTCTGGCCTCTCCGGAGATTTCCAGCTTTTCCTCCATTGTGGAGCCTTTTCCTCTCCCTCCTCGGTCTCTTCCCAATCCTTTTCCCTCATGGAGGCCTCCCTGCCCGTCTCCGACCTTTCTCAGACCGGAGTCCCCCAGAGAGCCCCCCGGTCCTCGTCTTCTGACCGCCCGCCCGTTCCTGACAGGATTTTGGCCCCTTTGGAGGCCTCCTCCGATCTCCGCCGAGCCTTCAAGGCGGCTGTTCTTCAGGGAGGCGAGTTCGAATCCTCCAGAGAGGTTTTTCTCCATCTCCACAGACGGTTCTTGGACAGGAAAGGAGAGGAAGACGGAGAAAGAGTCGCCTCTGGAGACGCCGTGGCCTTTCCTCCTACTCCCAAGCCCATCACCCCCGCCCTCTCCCTTCCCCTCAGACGCTCTCCTCTTTCCCGCCCTTTCTATGATCCTGGCACTTCGCGCCAAATCCATTAGGGGGCGCCCTCCGCCAAGGAAAGGGAATTCCAGACGCTTCCCCATTGGCCCATGGAGCCTTGCCTCTCTAGGACTTTGCATTCGCTTGGGGCTCCGGGCATGTTGGGGGAAGGTCGCTCAGCGGCTAAATTCCACTTTCTTTTTCTTCCCATCTCAGATACCGAAACTGGAAGCCATTTGTGGTCTTTGCAAGGCAAACTTTCCTCTTGGGGGAAGAAGAAAAAGAGCGGAATCCCTTGCAGGGATCAGTCCTGCAGCACCAGAAATGGTCCCGTGAAGGAAAAGGCATCTGGAGACCCACCAGAGTCCTTGGAGCCCTTTGCAGTTGCTCTGCAGGACAGAGAAAGGATGGAGACACAACCTTTTGGAAAGGAGGGAGCCGGAAAAGGCCCTTCAGCTGCTCAGCCTGGGAAGGGGGCGAAGCTCTGGACAAGAACCGGGCAGGAGATCCTGGAGGAGGAAACCATCCTCCCTTCACAAGTTCCGCCCTGGACCTCCATCCAATACCAGGAGGCTGAGGGTCCCCGAGGACTTTGCAGCCGACTCCATGGCTTTTGCAGGCGATGGCTGAGACCAGAAAAGCACACCAAAGCCCAGATGCTGGACCTGGTGGTTCTGGAGCAGCTCCTGTTCCTTCTGCCCCCAGAGATGGAGGGCTGGGTGCGGGAGTGTGGAGCAGAGACCAGCTCCCAGGCGGTGGCCCTGGCGGAAGGCCTCCTCCTGAGCCAGGCGGAGGAGCAGAAGGAGCAGGTCCAGTTGCAGGTGAGAGACTTTAGGGAGCTCAGAAGGGAATAGAGAAAGTGTTTTAATACTTCATCCCAAACTTCTCTGACATTCATCATATGTGGCAATTCACCAATTCTTGTAGGATGTTGTTCTGTTGTTTTCTCATTCAACCTCACGGATAGCTATTGGGGGCTTTGCGGTTTTGTTCCAAATATAAGAATCCACTTTATGTCATGTGAAGTACATTAATTCTGCTTCTTTTTTCCTTCCTCCTGTTTGAAGTGTTGCACTGTGGAAATCAGAGATCCTGAGAGAAAGAAAAACCCATCAAATCCCCCTCAGGAGCTTTTTTTCAGGAGGATCCCTCGGGAAGATCCAAGTCAGAATATCTCAAGAGGTAATGGAAGATCCTCCAATTTCCCATCTGTCTTACCTTCACTCTCTCTTCTCTTCTATGGAATAGCTCCTCCCATTTTTTTAATTATGCATTTTGAAATTATTTATTCCTTACAGAGAAACAAAGAACGATGCTTTCTGGTTTTTATGATGGAGATCAAACAGTGGTTGACCCTCCAAATCAGGTAAGAAAGGGAAAAGTGAATAGATTTGTATTCTTTCCTTCAGGAAGTGAAGCGGGTATGCAGAGAGCTCCCTCCTTCTATTTCCCCCCCTTGTTTGGCCTGGATTATTTTTGTGTTCTTCCACAACATGGAGAGCAGAATAGCAGGTTCAAGTTCCTGTCAGCCAGCATAGCTTCCTCTGGTTAACTTGTTCTCCTAGGTCCGTGATGGCGAACCTATGGCATGCGTACCGGAAGTGGCACGCAGAGCCATTTCACCTGGCACACGCAGCGTCGCTCATTCCTCTTCCGGGTTACTGTGGCACGCATGCGCATTGGTCTGCTAGTCTTCTAGTTATTGGTGCGCATGCGTGTGCGACGATCAGCTGGCCATGTGTGCGGCAGTGTCAGAAACCGGAAGATCAGCTAGCCAGCTGATTGAAACGCACGCATGCGTACCAGTAAACAGACGACTAGCTGGCCTGTGCACATGAGTGCCCCGGGAAATCCATCTCCTTGCCAGCAAGGAGCACTGCCCCAGTTGCTATGTGTGGGTGGCGGCGGCACCTTGGCCTCCAACCGCGTGGCCTCCGCTGCCCTTCCTGGGCTCCTCTCGCCGGGAGCCGCTGGCCGAGCAGTTGCAACTGGCGGGGCTTTGGCAGACCAGCAGCCAGTGACGGTAGGGGGGATGTACTGCCTGCACAGGTGACCACATTGCCGCTGTCAAAAGCAGGGCTGAGAAACCCTCTTGGCTTGCTCTGCCGGCCGCATGTGTCCCCTGGACTGTGGGCGTTGCCACCTCCCCCTACAGTGGCCAGAGAACCCGGCTCAGCGGGCGTAGCAGGGGTCGTGTGGGGGTGCTGCGCCACCTGCATTTGGACCCATCACCTGATCTCCACCATGCCCACTGCTGCACCGCCTGCTGAGCCAACGCCGCAGAAGGAGCAGCGGGCAGGGTAGCCAGCTGCCTTTATGCTCCTTCCCTGGTGTTGGCTCAGGGTCACAACTGCAAAACCCGTCCGAAGTCGAGAGGGGACGTTGAGATAGGGACGTGATTGTTGCCTCGCGTCCTCCTTGGCTTGCAACAGATGGCTCGGTTTGGGCGCAAGAAGGCGAAGCTGGTAGAAGTAGCTGCTGAGCGCAGGAGGAGGGTGTCCTTGGGACGCGGAGAAGCCAGTTGGGTTTGTATCGCAGGATGGGGGGAGGGGTGCTGAAAAGTTAACCCTCGACTCTGCAGATCCCACCCACCAGTGCCTGGATGGGGTTTCTGAAAGTAGAGGTGCCTGTAACAGGGCTAATCCTGTTCAAGGTACTGAGCAGCATGGACTTCGTCCCAATGCCTGAGTACCCAAGGGAGCCCCTTTCCTCAGTCAGCTTGATTGATTGGCTGGCCATATTGAAAGCAACCTGGGAGAATGTCAAGAAAGCTCTAGCTAAAGCGGCACAAACTTATAAGGAACAGGCAGACAAGCAAGAAACTGGGACCAATTTTATGGGACCATTTCCCATAGTAAAGATAATCAACCCAGTCACGGTGCAATTGAAATTGCCCCGAATGCTAGGGAAGATACACCCGGTATTCCATTGTAGCCTCTTAAAACCCGTTGTCGGATCGACCCTGAGGCTACTACCCTGTGAGCCGCGGGACCCCGTGGTCATAGGAGGCCAGACCCATTATGAGGTGTAGAAAATCCTCAATTTGAGGTGGCACAGGAGACAACTCCAATATTTAATCAAGTGGATTAAATATCCCTTATCAGAGGCATCTTCGGGAAAGAGTCGAAACATCCAGGTTGATCGCCTTATAGCCAAATTTCACACGGAAAATCCAAAGCCGGATGGTGGATTGGGTCCCTAAACTCTACATTTGTATTCAAATTGTTTTGCTTTGCACAGGTCGCCCTTAGGAAGTGAGGGGAGCTGAATGTCAACTTGCAAAGCTATCAAGTTGCCATGAGCAGGAGGGAGGGAGAACTGATTGAACTGGTTGATTTCCCTAACTAAAACTACGTTCCACAGATGCTTTTCTACCGCAATCAGGAGAGTTTTAGGTTTCACAGCCAGGCAAAGTGGTTAATTGGAGAATGTGATTTATGACATGGCCAGGAAGGAGGGGAGAAACAGGGTCATAGGGGAATGTAAATCTACGTAGGATTAGTTCTAAAACTGCATTCGAATATTGCCGAAATGGTGCTCCAATAAATGACTGTATTTCTTTTAAAGTTTGGCTCGTGGTTTATGAATTAATTAGGGCATCATTTGGAAACTTCACAGACAGGGCTTGTGCAGAGCCTGTGGAGGGTGAAAAACAGGCCTCCTGGAAGTTCGGAAATGGGCCGTTTCCAGCCTCCTGAGGGCTGGGGGAGGCTGTTTTCGCCCTCCTGGAGGCTCCAGAAAATCCTCCGGAGCCTGGGGAGGGTGAAATACAGGACTATTGGAAGTCCAGAAATGGGCTGTTTCCGCCCTCCCGGAGGCTCCAGGAAACTCTTTCCGGCCTCCAGAGGCTTCAGGGAGTCCTGCTAGGCCTAAAAGGGAGCACGCGGGGGGGGGGGGTGAATCCCGAGGGGGGCAAGCAGCAGGGGAGGTTCACACGTGCATGTGTGGGGGGATGGCCCCCGCAACGGGGGGCATTCCATTATGGGTGTGGCCACGTGAATGCATTGTCACGCACGTGCCTTTGGCACCCAAGCAAAAAAAGGTTAGCCATCACTGCCTTAGTCCTATTTTTCATGAAACTAGACATACCCAATTCCAGCAACCGTTCTTTATATGTTTTAGCCTCCAGTCCACTAATAATTTTTGTTGCTCTTCTCTGCACTCTTTCTAGAGTCTCAAGATCTTTTTTACATCTGACAACCAAACCTGGATGCAATATTCCAAGTGTGGTCTTCCAAAGACATTATAAAGTGTTACTAACACTTCATGTCATCTTGATTCTGTCCCTCTTAATGCAGCCTATGATTCTGTTGGGTTTTTTTTTTCTTTCTGGCAACTGTAGCATACTGCTGACTCATGTTTAAGTGGATGTCCACTAGGACTCAAAGATTGCTGTCGCACTTACTACTGTTGAGCCAGGGATCACCTATTCTATGCCAAGTGCATTTGGTTTTTCTTTCCTATATGTAGAACCTTACATTTCTCACTGTTGATTTCATTTTGTTAGATGGGGCCCAATCCGTCGATTCTTGTATATCTTGAGCTTTTCTTTGTTGTTGTGTGTTGTTATTCCTGTCAATTTGGTCTTCTCTGCAAATTTGATGAGTTCCCCTTCTATCCTCTTGTCTAAATCATTCATGAAGATGAACAGATCTTGTGAATCCTCCTGTTCTGTTCTGTTTTTTCCGTGTTCAGGAGAGTCTCGTGTCCTTTGAGGAGGTGGCTGTGTCTTTCTCTGAGGAGGAATGGTCTCAGCTGGATCCTGACCAAAAAGCGCTGCATTCGGAAGTCATGCTTGAAAACCATAGGAACGTGGTCTCTCTGGGTAAGAGTTCTCTAGTCCCCAATCAGAGAGTTCAAGAAGACAGATGATAGTTAGTTTTTTTTATTACAAAACCAGTAATCAGACACCGTCTCCTGGGAGGGAGAAGGAAAGGATCTTCTCGTACTCCAAGGAAGGAAAGAGTCAATGTCTCTTTGCTTAGATGCTTTCTCTGCCATTTCTTATCTCTATTTCTCCATTTCTATTTGAATTTATCTGTGGAGGCTGAAAAGAACAAAGTGTGCTTTTGTGTCCTCTGGAGATCATGTGAGAGGAGTGTGTTGTCATTTGTTCTCTGAAACCTCCAAAATTGTGTGAAAACAGAACTTTCACACTCGGCCCATGGAAGAGCATTCTCCCAATCCAGTTTAAGAACAAAGGCCTCATGCAATGTCACTCAGAGCATCCTAGGGTACAGGTAATCCCCGAGTTACGGCAGTTCACTTAGCGACGGTTCCAGCCCTCCCCCAAGTACTTGAGACCCAGTCCCGAAATTATGAATGTTGCAGCACCATGGCCATTTGACACACGAATGACAGAAGAGGCGCTGTAACATTCACCCTACCTATTCTCCCACCCCACCCCGCTTGGACTTACCGTACTTTTCAGACTGTAAGACACACTCCCCCCCCCAAAAAACAAGTGGGTGGAAATGTCTGTGCGTCTTATAGAGCACATACGGGCCTCTTTTTGGCCTCCCAAATCCTCTGTGCGTCCCTTTTTTGCCTTCCCTGGCGTCAAGAAGCAATCTGCAAGGCAAAAATGGGCCCGCTTTTGGCCTCCGGAGGCCTTTGTGGGTCCCGTTTTTGCCCTCTCCAGCATCAGAGAGGCTGAAAACGGGATGCTCGGAGGGTTTGAGAGGGCCAAAATGAGCCCTTTTTGGGCCTGCAGAGTGCTTCTGGATGCCAGAGAGGGGGAAAACGGGACATGCGGAGGCCAAAAATGATTTTTAATCAGTGGAACATCTTGCCTCCAGAAGTTGTGAATGCTCCAACACGAGAAGTTTTTAAGAAGATGTTGGATAACCATTTATCTGAAGTGGTGTAGGGTTTCCTGCCTAAGCAGGGAGTTGGACTAGAAGACTTCCAAGGTCCCTTCCAACTCTGTTATTCTATTCCTTAACTCAAAACTGACAGTGAGTGACAGTGTTCCAGAAAAACCTCCTCTCCAATTAAAAATTCTGAGGCAAACATTTTCTCAAAGTTCTAGAGTAGGTATACTCTAGAGTTTACTAGAGTAGGTATACTGGCACATCTTGGGAAAACACAAATCTGAAAATTCTGGGTTTTCCCTCAGTAAATCAAAACCCCCAAAACCATCCCCTCACTCATCAGTCGATCACATGCTCCAATTGTCAGGGTTCCAAGTAACACCCCCAACAAAATCAAACTCCGAGGCCTGAAGTTCCTCAAAGCTAACTTTTATTAGAGATGTCATATTGGCACATCTGGGAAAACCCGAACCTGAAAGCTTCTGGGTTTTCCTCACCCAAAAGGAAGTTCAAGACCCTGCTCACATCTTCCACATGTCCCACACAGCTCCAATCAGTACTTTCTTGAACAGAAGACATCCTCCAATTTCTTCTTTGAGAAGAAGTTCAAGGTATGAGACACCATGGCCTTGAACTTCTCTAGAGAAGTTTGTTATGGCTATATCTACTTCCCACTGGAGGATTGTGGCAGGCCTGGATCCTGAAGGCACAAAGGTAATATGGCTTCCAGGGATGACACCAATCACCATCCGTCCCATCTCGAAATAGCACTCCAACCACTCCTCCAGATGCAGGTTCGTCCTGACCTTGACCGACTGGAAGAATGCTATTTTGTTTAAATACAAACCCTCAAATATATCCCCACCTCTTATTTTCCCACACATGAGAAGGTGGCAGTTGGAAGCTTCCTGCCTAATACGGCTTCCAAAGCTGAAAGTGAGATTTGCATATGGCTCAGATATGTAAATGATATGTTTGTGATCTGGCCCCATGGAAAAGACAAGCTAGACAATTTTCTAGCACATTTGAATAACATGCATCCGAAGATACAGTTCACTATGGAAACGGAGATTGAAAATCAACTCCCATTCTTAGATGTATTAATATATAAGAGAACTGATGGCACCCTAGGACATAGTGTCTACCAAAAGAAGACACAAACAAATAGATACCTAAACGCACACTCACACCATCATCCCTCACAAATAAATTCAGTAGCAAAAACTTTAATCACTAGAACTAAACGTCTAGCAGATGAGGCACATGTACAAACAGAGCTTCAGACTCTCACAGAGGTATTAATAGCAAATGGGTTCCACGAAAATAAAATTAAAAGTATAATTTGACAAGGGACATCAGAATTGCAAATTGAGCTAGAAATAGATCTATATAGGTCTCCCACCTAGCAGGAAGAGCTTGCTGGCTGCTAGAAAGGAAAAAAGCCCAGAATCGAGTGGATGTGATTCTACAGAGCTGGGGCTGCAGAAAAACCTTGGTTATGTAAGGAAAACCTGGCTACTCCCACGTAAAATTGGAAGTGTTTTGGCGACGTTTCGACGAAGTCTCATTCGTCATCTTCAGGCTGGTGTTCTCGGCTTCGTGCTTCCAGGAGCAAATATATATATATATATATCAGAGATAATTGTAAAGACAGAGATGTTTTCTAGATATTTTCAAAGCTTTCATCTTTCCTGACTCATGAATATAGAAATCATCATGTCTATATCACACCCCTGTAAGCATACAACCTAATGGAATTTCGGAGAAATTTAGAAGGAAATTTCCTACACTTTGATCTTTTCCTCTAAAAATGATCTTGTTATCATTTTCATTTCCCTTTTGCTTTGAAGGTAATAATGGGCAGGAGAATCAAGATTCCTGCGAACTGTTCCAAGTGATCAATGCTAAAGATGGAAGGGAGAAGTTTGGAATTCGAATGGAATTAGGAAGCCATGAGAGAAGCCAGTCAAAGAATTGGAATCAGGAAAGCTCATCTTCCACTGATGCTCCGATGCAAGACTTTCTTGCCCAACAAGAGAAAATAGGGGAAAAATATACTGCAAAAAGTATGAAGCTAATCAAAGCTAAAGTACAAGTAAATGAACACTATATAACCCCCAAAAAAGGAGAAGATGCTATAAGAAGACACAACGGAGAAAATTACAATGGGACATTCATTCTTTCTCTTGGAAATAACTTCCTTACAGCTCAAAAAGCAGTTGACACAAAAGAGAAGCCTTATAAATGTTTGGAATGTGGAAAATGTTTTAGAACAAGCAGGCAACTTACTTCCCATGAAAGGATTCACACTGGGGAGAAACCATATAAATGCATGGAGTGTGGAAAGACCTTTGCTCAAAGAGGTAATCTTACTTCCCATAAGATGATCCACACAGAGGAGAAACCATATAAATGCATGGAATGTGGAAAGACCTTTGCTCAAAGAGGTAATCTTACTTCCCATAAGATGATCCACACAGGGGAGAAGCCGTATAAATGCACAGATTGTGGAAAGACCTTTGCTCGTAGCAGTACACTTACTATCCATAAAAGGATCCACACAGGGGAGAAACCATATAAATGCATGGAATGTGAAAAGACCTTTGCTCAAAGGGGTCAACTTATTTTCCATAAGATGATCCACACAGAGGAGAAACCATATAAATGCATGGAATGTGGAAAGACCTTTGCTCAAAGGGGTCATCTTATTTCCCATAAGATGATCCACACAAGGGAGAAGCCGTATAAATGCATGGAGTGTGGAAAGACCTTTGCATATAATAGTGGCCTTGGAAGACACAAAAAGCTCCACACAGGAAAGAAACCATATAAATGCATGGAGTGTGGAAAGAGCTTTGCTGACAAAAGTAATCTTATTTCCCATAACAGGATCCATACAGGGGAGAAACCATATAAATGCATGGAGTGTGGAAAGACTTTTGCTCATATCAGTTCACTTACTTCCCATGAAAGAATCCACACAGGGGAGAAGCCATTTAAATGCATGGAGTGTGGAAAGACCTTTGTTCTGAGCAGTGGACTTACTTCCCATAAGATTATCCACACAGGGGAGAAGCCATATAAATGCATGGAATGTGGAAAGAGCTTTGCTCAAAATGGTCATCTTACGTCTCATAAAAGGATCCACGCTCGGGAGAAACTATATTGCAATAGCAATTCCACTTCGACTTACATACCACTCCACAATGTTTTACCACACTCTCTGAGCAGTTTACAAAGTCAGCATATGATCCCCAGCAATCTGGGTCCTCATTTTACCCACCTCAGAAGGATGAAAGACTGAATCAACCATGAGCCAGTCAGGATCCAACTCCTGTCTGTGGACAATTAGCCTGTAGTACTGCATTCTAACCACTGACCCACCCTGTCTCTGTAGATTTGTATGTGTATGCGTATTTTGCCTTTTTGATCCAAATGAGACAAGGCTGATCCAACAAAATGAAATTTAATGTGGAGAAAAGTAAGATTTTACACCTGGGCAGGAAAAACAGATTACTTGAAACCTAGCTCAAAAAGAGTAATTGGGAGAGGGACCTTGGGAGTCCGAATCGATGATGACTGTTTTATAAAGCCTTAGTAAGACCACACCTGGAATACTGCATCAAGTTTTGGTCATCACATTACAAAAAAGATGTTTAGACTTTGGAGAAAGTGCAAAGAAGAGCAGCTAAGATGATTAAAGGCCTGAAGACTAAAATATATGAAGAACGGTTGCAGGATTTGGGTGTGGCTAGTCTACAGAAAAGAAGGATTAGGAGTGACATGGTAGAAGTATTCCAGGGGGCTCAATTTATTTTCCAGGGCACCAAACGGCACAAGAAACAATGTCCGTAAAATAATCAAGGAGAAAAGTAACCTCGAATTAAGGAGAATTTTCCTTACAGTGAAGACAATTAACCAGTAGAACAGCTTTCCTTCAGATATTGTTTTTAATATAGGGCCAAATTATTTAATATGTTTTAAATTGTTTTTAAACTTTATGGATATACTTGTTTTATTGTGGCTGTGCACCACCCTGAGTCCCTCGGGAGAAGGGCGCAATAAAAATTTAAATAATAAATAAATAAATAAATTGTGGTTGCTTCTTCACTGGCATTTTTAAGAAGAGACTGGATCCTATAGGAATATCAATAGATCTTGAAATGGTATAGGATCTCCTGCTTGAGCCGAAAGTGCGGATGGGGCACCAGCCGCCAAGGACTTGTACCAGGCTTAGGACTTCAGGCACCAGGGCTCCATCAATTCCTGGATGGACAGAAGGAGTCTCTTGGGGGGACTTTCAAAAGAAAAAAAATTCTTCTTCCGATTCACTAGTGGATCCAGAAGTCAATTAAAATCTCTCTCCAGCAACTGCCATATCAAATTGGAACCACAAAATGTTATCAGTACATTTTTGTCTAAAATTAGGTTAATTTTGCGTTGGGCCATAAAAATGATTCATGCCATCTGACAGTCTGTTTGTTTACCTACTAAAAGTAATTATACGACTTGAAGATGTTTGCAATAAAAATGCCAAATTGAAACTTTTCAATTTCCACCGATTTAAAAATGCTCCATCCATTTTCTTTTTTTTAATCAAGTTTTATTGATTTTTTTCTTTTACACACACATATTTTATGAACAGAGTATTGACCATATCATAATTTATACAACTTATCATATCCAATTTCATTTTACATAGTTACCATTTTTGCCAAAATATTCTTTTTCCATACTTTTTAATCTTATCTTAATACTTCTATGCTTATTTTATAAACGGCATCACCATCTACCCTCAAATCCTACTTTCTTAACATTATTTCAATTAGTTATCCATTGTTAATCATATGTATTCCCTTTTAACTTTCATATTAATTTGTTCTTCATCCTAATAAATTTGAACATGCTCGGGGTTGCCTTTCTACCATTTCATCTCCCTTGTTTTACAACAATTCTTTGCCTTTCCTCTTTTTCTTCCCTCCCTTCTATCCTTTTCTACTTTCCTCTTTCCTCCTCTCCTCCTCCTCCTCTACTTCCCCTTCCTTTCCCCTCCTCCATTCCTTCCTCCCTTTCTAACTGTCTCTCCTACTCTTATTTCCCCTCCCTTTCTTCCTATCCTTTTTCCTTTCTTCTATTCCTCTTTCTCCTTCTCTTCTCCTTTTTCCCTCTACTACTCCTTCCATTCTCTTTCCATTGTTGTATTAATTTTCAATTCAATATTTTCCACAATGGTATCTGGGCAACCCGATTTTTCTCCACATATTAACTATATTTTTCAAAGTCCCCATCACATTTTAAAATTATTAATGTATCTCAACTCATTTCATAATTTCATATTCCAACAGCAATAATTTTCCTCATTTACTAGCCTTTCAATTTTATATCTTAATTTCCATTATTTTCATATTTAAACCAATCTACATTTCATATTACACCTGTTGATCCATTTTACAATAAACAATATACTTCTTGTTTACTTCTTATATACAATTTCTACTATTAATACATTTCCCTTAAATCAACCATTAAATGCTTTATTTCCCTTCTTTCTCTCCATTATTCTTCCCCTTTTACCCATTTTCTTTTGGTCTCTCCAAAATTCCACTTCTTAATATTTTTTTCCCTTTTTCCCATTCTCTTATTTTCTTTTTTTCTTTTTATATTTATTGAATCTTTCCCCTGAATCGTTTCTCTCATTTTTAAAATTGTTACCCTTTTAATTCTCCCCCTCAGTCTTTTCCCATCTCCTTCTCCTCCTTTCTTTTTTGGGTGATATTCCCCCCTATCCACATTTTGTTTTTCACTGTCAATCCCAGTGTAATCATCTATTTTTTCATCTTCAATTATTTTCCTTTCAACATTATGTTCTTGCTTCACATTTGTATTCTTTTTCTTTTTTTTGGGGGGGGGGTATTCTAACCATATTTCCGCTTCTTTATCACCCTTAAATGCTTCACGCATCTTCTTAAACATTTCCATTACTTCCTCATATTCCCAATGTTCCATATTGTCTATTCAAACATTTTATTTTAATTTATATGTAGTTAAAATTCAAGTCCATGTAGTGTCTCTCTTATTTTTTATTTCCAAATAATATCCAGTTCAAATATTTATCTAGACCATTCCAGTTTAAGGCTTTGTTCTTTTTCACTTCTTTTCAAAGTCGGGATCCAGCTGTTTAAACAAGTACTCCTTAAAATTTCCCACGATAGTCAAAATTCTTACTGTTCCTTCAATGTTTAAAGCATTTGTTGCAGTGCTTTCTTTCCAGCAGATGTCTCTCTCCAGTCCACAAATCCCCAGGCAACAAAGTATCACTTTTAAATCCATATAGAAAATACTTTCTTGTCTCTTCAATTTCTTTTCCTTTTATTATTAAAAAATGCTTTCTCTCAGTTTTCTTTTTCTTGTATTATTTCTAATACCTCCAAATTCAATTTTAAGTCCAGGTAGAAAGTTTTCTTTTTTGATCTTTTAACTTCCTCTTTGTTCTTTTCTCTCCAATTAACGGGGCGGCATATAAATTTAAATAAATAAATAAATAAATAACATTCCCAAGTGCCAATTAGCCGTTCATTTCACGCTGGGTCCCTCCAGTTGTGAAGAAGAGAAATGGTTGAAATGGGTGGGTGAATGTAGGGGGAGTCTCAGGTGCCCCCCCCCCAATGGCTCCCCACAAATGCTCAGGGAGGACCGTGCCTGCTGGGCTTCTGCTCCTCAAAAGGGGGCTTGAGGGGAAGCAGAGCAAGGGAGCCTCTGAGCAGAAAGGGGGGTCCTGCCCTTTCGTCCCCCTGGATCTGCCCACCCTCCTCCTGAACCAGTTCTGGCTTCGGACGCAAAGTAGCCAGGATGGTGGATCCAGAGGCAGCAGAGGGAGGAGCCTCCTGTGGGGGCAGCAAAAAGGAAGAGGAAGAGGAAGGGAGGATTCCAGGGTTTTCTTACATCTGAAGTTTATTCTTTTATAGCAAAGCAAAGGGAAGGGAAGTGATTCGTAGGAAGAATAATATAGATGAAGCTGCTGTGGGTTCAAAGCCAAGAAAATTAAAGAATTTTTAAAACCACCAATAACTTGTAGGAGAGGATGAGATGAGGAAGGAAGAGGAGAAACTCACCTGCAGGAGGTTGGATGGGAGTTGCTAGAAGTAGAAAAAGACCCAATCAGGACCCTTCATGGGCTGGAGGACTCAGGGGGACCCCCTCCCCATCGATAGCCCATAATAGGTTGTGTGATCTTCACTTATAGCTCCTCAAACAAGAGAAGCTGCCAAAAATATTCCCCAAGGAGCCCCTCTTGGCCACCTGCTAAGCTTGAGGAGAGGCCTCCCCTAGAGGGTCCCCTCCCCACAACCTCTCCTCCAGCCCCCCAGACTCACCTTTCTTGCTCTTCAGGTAGGAGAAGAGACCCGCAGCCAGGAAGGCCACTCCTATCACGGCCCCCATGATCCCCGTCCAGAGTTTGCTCCTGGCAGAGCTGGAGGAACGGGGCTCTGGGGAAGGAGAAGGAGACTCACCTGAGCAGGAGGATCAGGCCCACCTTCCCCCAGGAGGCTCCATTCCGTCTCCCCCCACAGGGAGGGTCTCTTCCCCTTCTTAGGGCAGGATGGGGTTCCCAAACCAGAAGGGGAGGGAGGGGAGGGACTTACCCCACTGGACGGTGATGGGGGCCTCCAGGCTGGCATGCCCCACCTTGCAAGTGTAGACATCCCCCCGTTGGGGCTGGGTCTCCAGCATCACCTGGAGCTGGTAGGTCCAGTCTCCGTTCTGGAGCTCCTCCCCAAAGGCCACGCCCTCCTCCTCCGGCCGCCCATTCTTCAGCCACTGGACCTCTATCTCCACGGGGTAAAAGCCGGTCACGGTGCAGAGGAGGATGGTGTTGGGGGAAGTGGGGTCCATCTTGGTGGGGGAGATGGTGACGGTGGGCTTGGCTGGAGGGAAGGAGGGGAAGGAGCCACATGAGAGACACAGGAGGGCCCAGAACAGGAGACATTTTGCTTCCCATCCGAGGAGCTTCTTCAGTTCTGACTGTCCCAATTGAAGCTTCTTGGGTGAGAAGCAAAAGGTCTTCAAGGGAAAACAAAGTCTATTTGCCGTCTGAAGAAACTCCTTTGGGACGGTGTTTGGAGTCCTCTTCCAAAGCGAATGGCAGCAAGGAATGAAAAGGGATCCTGAGAAATGGGAAAACCTAAATCCTTCCTGGTTGGGATCAGGTGAACTCATCCAAAGGGAAGAATCCTCAAAATAGGCAAATCCGACAGCAGAATAACAGAATAAGAGAGTTGGGAGGGACCTCGGAGGTCTTCCAGTCCAACCCCCTCAGGCAGGAAACCCTCCACCATTTCAGACAAGTGGTTGTCCAATCTCTTCTTAAAAACTTCAAGTGTTGGAGCATTCACAGCTTCTGAAGGCAAGGTAAGTTCCAGATTGATTGTTCTCACTCTGAGGAAATTTCTCCTTAGTTTTCTGTCGTTTCTCTCCTTGATTAGTTTCCGTCCATTGCTTCTTCTCTTGCCTTCTGGTGCTTTGGAAAAGAGGCTGTGATGTGGCCGCAAAGAAAAGGGCAGAGAAGCCATTTGCCCATAATTGCCAGAAGACTGACAGACCCCAAATTCTTTAGGGGCAAGATGGACAGAAGAGATTTTGGGGATTTCAAGGTGCTGCAGAGGATCCTTCCGGGGGGGGAGGGGACTTTGGGGGGGAATTAAGAAGGACGGATTTGGCTGCAGGTGAAGCTGAGTCTGTGAACAAAAAGGGGGTTTCAAGGAGGGATTTTCTCCCAGACCCCCAAAATTGGCTGAAATTTCTCAGCCTTTGAATCAGCTTCTGCTCAAGACAGACACCAGACCAGGATCCCACGTGATTCGGGCTTTTACATCTTGGTTTAAGCATTGAATCATTATAAATTTATTATAATCATTATAAACTTCCTTTATTTGTTTGTTTGTTCTTGGATTTAAAAGCTGCCGGACTGCAAATAACTCAAATGAAGAAAGAAGAAAAAGGAGCTTATCAAGCGGACGACAGGCAGAAGAGCCTCCTTTTGAAATTTTTTCTTTAAAAAAACACATTTTTTTATCCCAAAGTGCCAAAAACAGCATTTCTGGAGCAGAGAAAGAGAGGGAGGGGCTTCTGGCTGGGAAGAGGGAGGGAGACGGGAGGTCCCTGAATAGGATAGAAATGAATCAGGGATAGAGAGAAATATATATGTAGATACAGGGAGTCCTTGATTTATGACCACAATTGAGCCCCAAATTTTCTGTTGCTAAGTGAGACGTTTGTTCAATGAATTTTGCCCCGTGTATCTTTCTTGCCACAGGGGATCACGTGGCCCCGGGACGCTCCCACCGTCATAAGTATGAGTCAGTTGCGAAGCATCTGGATTTTGATCATGTGACCCGGGGGATGCTGCAACGGTCGTAAGTGTGAAAAGTGGTCATAAGTCATTTTTTTCACTGCCGTTGTAACTGAACGGTCACTAAATGAACTGTTGTAAGTCAAGGACTGCCTCTATTGAATAGGCGAGAGAGACCTTGCTGGATTCCTCTCCCCCACCCCAAATCATATTAGGGTTGGTTTTCCAGGATCATAACAGAATAAGAGAGTTGGAAGGGACCTCTGTTTTGCGCCCCACCCCCGCATGATACTCATCCAATCGCCTCAGTATTCCTGGAGAGGTGGACTAGATGCCCTTTGAGTTCCCACAGTGCCCAGAAGGAGCCTAAGATGGAGCTGCCGAGAGTCCAGAAGGGCAAAGTGGATCCAGAGCTCGAGGGGTCCTTCGGGGCTCAGAAGGGGAGGAGGGAGCCCCACAGCCAGCCAGGACTTGGGGGTCACACGCTCCCCCCAATCCGAAGGGAAGCCAGGAAAACCCTCAGCTGACAGTCCAGGCAGGATCTGCAGGGATCCCTCCTAATCCAGCCGGATCACCAGGCCATGGGGGAATTTCTGCACGGATTTCTTGGCTTTACAAGAGAAAACGGCCTTTCCCTTCTTTGAAAGCCGTGCCTGTATGAAGCGGCTCCTTCCGATTTCCCACCCCTCGACCCCAAATGTGAAGGAATCTCCCCCTTTCTTCCTTTCTGTGGGTCGGGATCCCCCTTTTCCTTGCAAAGCAGCCCCGCGTGAAGATCCCGGAATAAACTTCGGCCGTTTCTCCTCCGTTTCCCGCTCCTTTCCTCGGAGAACGTCCACATCTTTGCCATCATTTCAAGATATTTTTCTCTTTCAACAGAAAAATATATAAAGTAACTTTTTGGAAGAAATTGTGCCAGGATAAAAGTGCAGATATAAAGTGGAATCTGATGAACCTTTTCCCCATAAATTTGCATATTTCGGCTGTGGAACAAGAAGTGCTTCTAAAACGTCTTTTGGTTATTATTTATTAAGACTATTATGGCATAAAACAGAAAATAAAGGTAGTGAGGAAAAGGGAAAGGAAGGGGAAGGAGAAGCAGGGGATAAAGGGCAAAGGAGCAGGGGAAGTGGGCCCTCCCTTCTTGATTAATCTTCTAATTAAGTCATTTAGGGAGAATTCCAGAATCCCCTCCAGATGAAATGGGGAGGAATCCCTGGTCCTCTCCAGCCTTTTCCTCCATGAAATGGGTCTATTTTCCCTCTGTCTGTCCCTGCCTATCAACTACACCCCTGCAGTGTGGGCCTGCCTTGGGGGAGGGGGTTGAAAGGGAATAAATACATGTTATTTTCCCTGGAGCTGCATCGAGAGAATCCAGGATAGGATGGGTGTTGCTCGGTTCTGCCTGGAGACGGAGCACGTGATCATAATTTGCACATGTAGTCCCTCCTTTCTCGCCTGGTGCTTCCCCAGTTTGGCTCAGTCTTCAGCGCAGAGAGACGTGTTTGAATGAGCAGCTTCACCTTTCATTCTGTGATCATCTAAGCGTGAGCTTTCGAAGAGATTTATTATTGTAATTGTGAGGATCGCTTTTGCGATCAGGCTGCTAGCTGGTCCGCTGGCTAGCGGCCTTGTGCCGACTTTTCTACAGCCGAGGTCCCCGCCAGGTTCTGAAGGCCCTGGCTGAATCCCTGCGTCTGGCACCACATCTTCTCCAGCCTCCTCATTGTTTGACTCAAGTGCCAGCTGCACAGGGTGAACTGCACCACACCAGCCTCCTCGTTGTCAGAATCAGGAGATAAAATCAAAACCCTCGACTGAAAAGTGCAACTGAAGAGGTTTAATGTGGAGGAAATACGCAGCTGCTATCCAGTGGAAGAGGGAGATACGGACACAAACTGTTAGTTTTATATCCATATAAATGAATTTAAGATTCGCAGCAGAGAAGACAGTCAGGAACATCCTGAGGTAAATCTCAAACGGCGCCCAGAAGGAAAAGGCGGGAAAAAGGGAAACGCCCCCTTTCCACCCGCAGCAACCAATCAGAGCGCAGATCCCCTCAGCCACAACGGGGTCTTCGCGACCATTGGATACTTAACCTTCTTCAGCCATTAAATTGAATATCTTCACATTTAAAGTGTTCAAAGGAAACAGATGTAAAACGACTTTGCTTTTGTCCATTAGATGGAATTGTCAAGTTGGAATAATGTTTTTTTTCCTTGCACTGTGCTAAAAAGAAGTCAATGTCTTTTTTCCCCTTTTTTCTCTTGTACCTCAGACTTTCTTTTCCCCTCTTTTTCTCCTTTTCTTGATTTCCTATTTCTATTTTTCTTTGTGTTTTGTATAATAAATAAGATCTGGAGACTCTAGAAAGAGTGCAGAGAAAAGCAACAAAGATGGAGGCAAAAACATATTTAAAAAACTTGGTTCCTGGAACTGGGTATTTTCTAGTCTGATGAAAAGAAGGAGGAGGGCAGACATGATGGCACTTTCTGATATCTCAGCGGCTGCCAGAAAGAATATTTTCTCTTCTCTTCTCTTCTCTTCTCTTCTCTTCTCTTCTCTTCTCTTCTCTTCTCTTCTCTTCTCTTCTCTTCTCTTCTCTTCCCTTCCCTTCCCTTCCCTTCCCTCCCCTCCCCTCCCCTCCCCTCCCCTTCTCTTCCCTTCCCTTCCCTTCCCTTCCATTCCATTCTATAAATAAGAAGCAGACCGAATGAAAGAGGTAGAGGTGGAGTTCCATTATACGTATATAAGAAATAATCAACAGCTCTAGAAATGCAACAGAAGAAAGGCGAAAACTTCCTTCATGCATTTGGGTTCATATAAAAGGGGGAAAAGAAGCACAGACATCGAAGCCTTTGTCTGACAGGGAGCTGTTGGGAGGGGCCTTTCCTCCCTCTCCCAAGCCCATCCTCCCCGCCCTCTCCCTTCCCCCTCCCATTCACTCCTCTTTCCCGCCCTTTCTACGATTTTTTTTTTTTTAATTTGATTTATATGCCGCCCTTCTCCGAAGACTCAGGGCGGCTTACAATGTGCTCAGCAATAGCCTTCATCCTTTTGTATATTTATACAAAGTCAGCTTATTGCCCCCACAACTGGGTCCTCAATTTACCTACCTTAGAAAGGATGGAAGGCTGAGTCAACCTTGAGCCTTGGCGAGATTCGAACCCTGCAGTAATTGCAGGCAGCTGGTCTTAATAACCAGCTTAATAACAGGGTGCCTTAAACCCCTGTACTACCAAGGCTCTACGATCCTGGCACTTTGCCCCAAATCCACCAGGGGGCGCCCTCTGCCAAGGGAAGGTGACTCCAGGCACTTCCCCATTGGTCCACTGGAGCCTTGCCTCTCTAGGACTTAGGGAGAGGCTCCGGGTGAGTCTAGCGTTTCTTTTTCTTTCCTTCTCAGATACCGAAACTGGAAGCCATTTGTGGTCTTTGCAAGGCAAACTTTCCTCTTGGGGGAAGAAGAAAAAGAGCGGAATCCCTTGCAGGGATCAGTCCTGCAGCCCCAGAAATGGTCCCGTGAAGGAAAAGGCATCTGGAGACCCACCAGAGTCCTTGGAGCCATTTGCAGTTGCTCTGCAGGACAGAGAAAGGATGGAGACACAACCTTTTGGAAAGGAGGGAGCCCGAAAAGGCCCTTCAGCTGCTCAGCCTGGGAAGGGGGCAAAGCTCTGGACAAGAACTGGGCAGAAGATCCTGGAGGAGGAAACCATCCTCCCTTCAGAAGTTCAGCCCTGGAACTCCATCCAATACCTGGAGGCTGAGGGTCCCCGAGGACTCTGCAGCCAACTCCATGGCTTTTCCAGGCGATGGCTGAGACCAGAAAAGCACACCAAAGCCCAGATGCTGGACCTGGTGGTTCTGGAGCAGCTCCTGTTCCTTCTGCCCCCAGAGATGGAGAGCTGGGTGCGGGAGTGTGGAGCAGAGACCAGCTCCCAGGCGGTGGCTCTGGCGGAAGGCCTCCTCCTGAGCCAGGCGGAGGAGCAGAAGGAGCAGATCCAGTTGCAGGTGAGAGACTTTAGGGAGCTCAGAAGGGAATAGAGAAAGTGCTTGAATACTTCACCCCTCCTTCCCAAACTTCTCTGGCATTCATCATATGTGGCAATTCACCAATTCTTGTAGGACATTGTTCCATTGTTTTCTCACTCAACCTCACGGATGGATATTGGGGGCTTTGAGGTTGTGTTCTGAATATAAGAATCCACTTTACGTCGTGTAATGTACATTAATTCTGCTTCTTTTTTCCTTCCTCCTACTGGAAGTGCTGCACTGTGGAGATCAGAGATCCTGAGGGAAAGAAGAACCCATCAAATCCCCCTCAGGAGCTATTTTTCAGGAGGATCCCTTGGGAAGATCCAAGTCAGGACATCTCAGGAGGTAATGGAAGATCCTCCAATTTCCCATCAGTCTTAAATTCTCTTCTATAGAATATCTCCTATTTTGTTAATGATGCATTTTGAAATTATTTATTCCTTACAGAGAAACAAAGAATGAAGCTTTCTGGTTTTTATGATGGAAATCAAACAGTGGTTGACCCTCCAAATCAGGTAAGAAAGGGAAAAGTGATTAGATTTCTATTTTTCCTTCAGGAAGTGAAGTGGGTGTGCAGAGAGCTCCCTCCTTCTATTTCCCCCCCCCCTTGTTTGGCCTAGATTATTTTTGTGTTCTTCCACATGGAGAGCAGAATAGCATTTTCAAGTTCCTGTCAGCCAGCATAGCTTCCTCTGGTTATCTTGCTCTGCTAGGTACTCCTCCAACTTTGAGTTTATAAGAAGCAATTTTTAAAAAGTCCTTCAAGAGTAAACGTATCACAGTGGCAGGAACTGCTAGAGACCCTTTTTGGGGGAGAATTCTTTGACTCGGAATTGTGCAAGGCTAATGAAAAATAACTAAATACTCAAATTACCTCATTACCATTTTTAAAAAGCCTTTATAACCAGTAGTTCAAAAATAAGCAAATTGTATTAAAAAATAAAGCCGACTATTGAAATCCAAAGGGAGTGGCCCTGTTGAGCATGTAATCCAGGTACTCTGGGCTACAAAATAATTTCCAATCCTCTTATTTGAACCTCGATTAGGAGATCAAACATTCCCGCTTTGCAAAGGCTGAGAAATGAATTTCCCAGGGAATTTTCTCTTCTTTGTTTTCTTCCTTTCAGCCAATGGCTCAGACTACTAGATCAATCAATGATAGACAGAGCGATAGATCAGTTAATCCAGAAGTGGGATTACTTTTACTTTTACTTTTATTATATTTATATACCGCCCTTCTCCTGAAGGACTCAGGACGGCCCTCTCTGTGGGAGCGTAATGGTCGGTGGGAGGCAATCGGTGGCAGAATGAGGTCCTATAGATAACCAGGTCCTAAGCCATGGGGCGCTTTAAAGGTGGTAACCAACACCTTGAAATGCACCCGGAAGACCACCGGGAGCCATTGCAGCTCGCGCAAGAGGGGTGTTACATGGGAACGACGAGTCGCCCCCATTATTACTCGCGCAGCTGCATTCTGGATCAGTTGGAACCTCCGGGTGCTTCTCAAGGGGAGCCCCATGTAGAGAGCATTACAATAGTCCAGATGGGAAGTGATGAGGGCGTGAGTGACTGTGCGCACGGCGTCCCGATCCAGAAATGGACGCAACTGGGAGATCAGGCGAATCTGATAAAAAGCCCCCCTGGCCACGGCCGTCTTATGATCATCCAAAGACAGCTGTGAATCCAGGAGGATGCCCAAGTTGCGAGCCCTCTCTGAGGGGGGTAAGATCTCATCCCCAATAGCCAGCGATGGTGTTAGCTGACTATATCGGGCTGTTGGAAGCCACAGCCACTCAGTCTTGGAGGGGTTGAGTCTGAGTCTGTTCCTCCCCATCCAGATCCGCACGGCCTCCAGGCAACAGGACATCACGTCAAGGGCATCATTGGGGTGGCCTGAGGTTGAAATGTACAACTGCGTGTCATCAGCATAATGTTAAACAGGAGGGGCGAGAGGACTGACCCTTGCGGCACCCCACAAGTGAGGAACTTCGAGGTCGATCTCTGCCCCCCCCGTCAACACAGACTGTGTGCGGTCAGAAAGGAAGGAGGAGAACCACCGTAGCATGGTGCCCCCCACTCCGACCCCCTCTAGCCGACACAGCATGATACCATGATCGATGGTAGCAAAAGCCGCTGAGAGATCTAGGAGGACCAGGACAGAGGAGCAACCCCTGTCCCGAGCCCTCCATAGATCATCAACCAATGCGATCAATGCCGTTTCCGTGCTGTAACCCGTCCTGAAGCCCAACTGGCATGGATCTAGATAGACAGCTTCATCCAGGAATCGAGGAAGTTGTCTCGCCACCGCACTCTCAACAACCTTCGCCGTGAAGCGGAGGTTGGAGACAGGATGATAATTAGCTAATACAGCCGGGTCCAGGGAAGGCTTCTTGAGGAGGGGCCTCACCACCGCCTCTTTCAGGGCGGATGGGAAGACACCCTCACTCAACGAAGGATTGGTAATCTCCTGAAACCAGCCTCGGGTAACCACCCGGGAGGCCAGCATCAACCAGGAGGGACACGGGTCCAGTAAACATGTGGTAGCGTTAGGTCTCCCCAAAATCCTGTCCACGTCCTCAGGAGTCACATGGTCAAACGCCTCCCAGATAACACTCTCAAGACTCACCTCCGTCATCTGGTCCAAGGCTATCCAATCAGAGTCCAGGCCGCCCCGAATCTGAGCAATTTTGTCATGCAGGTATTGTCCAAAATCCTCAGCTCTATCCTGCAAGGGATCCTCCCTCACTCCCACCTGTAGTAGAGAGCGGGTCACCCTAAACAGGGCGGTTGGGTGGTTCTCTGCAGATGCAATAAGAGTGGAAAAATAGTTAGATTTTGCCATTCTTATTGCCACTAGTTAGGTCTTGATATAAGACCACACCAATGTTCGCTCAGATTCGGTGCGGCTAGATCTCCAATCGCTCTCTAGGCGTCTTTTCCGGCGCTTCATCTCTCTCAGCTCCTCAGAGAACCAAGGAGCCAATTGAGAACGGCACCGAGTCAGAGGCCGCAAAGGCGCGATGCGGTCCAAGTCTCCGGCGGCTGCCCTGTCCCAGGCGGCCGACAGTTCCTCAGCCGAGCCGTGAGTCAGAGCCTCTGGGAATGGCCCAAGCTCCGTCAGGAACCTCTCGGGGTCCATCAGGCGCCTGGGACGGGACCACCTGGTCGGTTCCGTCTCCCTGCGGCGAGGGGCAGCAGTCCGAAAGTCCAGCTGAAGAAGCGAATGATCTGTCCATGACAAGGACTTAATGACTAGGTCCCCTATTGTAAGATCATTCAACCACTGACCAGAGAAAAAAATCAAGTCCAGCGTGTGTCCCCCAGTGTGGGTGGGGTCATGAACTAACTGGGTCAGGTCCATGGCCGTCATGGAAGCCATGAACTCCTGAGCCGCTTCCGACGTTTCACAGACGGATGGCAGGTTGAAATCCCCCATGACCATAAGCCTGGGGGTATCCACCGCCACCTCGGCTATTACGTCGAGCAGCTCAGGCAGGGCAGCTGCTACGTGGCAGGGAGCCAGGTACGTAGTCAGCAAACCCATCTGCACCCCCTGACCCCACTTCACAAAGAGGGACTCACAGCCAGCTATCTGAGGAACAGTGGCCTCACTGTTCAGAGTACTTTACTGAAAGACGTTAAAGGTTTTGCAGAATCAATGAACTTGATAAAACTTCCCTAAATATTTCTTCAGTGGAAGTAGTTTTCAGATTTGCTCACTTTCTCACCTAATATTAGGACTTGTGCAGTGGTGGGATTCAATTTTTTTAACAACTGGTTCTATGGGTGTGGCTTAGTTGGGGTGTGGCTTGGTGATCATGTGACTGGGTAGATGTGGCTATCTGGTCATGTGACCGGGTGGGCGTGGCTATGTGCATAGGGACCAACTCTGTAATTCTGGTATTGGCAAGCAAGCACAGTTAAGCTACTTAAATCCTCCAGAGCAGGGGTCCCCAACCTTTTGGACCCCAGGGACCACCAAGTTCATAATTTTAAATTTCGTGGACCACTAATCCAAATCCAGCGCGCCACTTGCGGAAGCACCTGGAATCCCAGTGACAGGATAGGGTCCTTCAGGCACTCTCCCCCCCTCTTTCTCTCTCCCCCCTCTCTCATTCTCTCTTTCCCCCCTTTCTCTCTCTCCCCCACTCTTTCTCTCTCTTTCTCTCTCCTTCTCTTTCTCTCCCCCTCTTTCTTTCTCTCCCCCCTCTTTCTCTCTCTCCCCCTCTCTCATTCTCTTTCTCTCCCCCTCTTTCTGTCTCCCCCTCTTTCTCTCTCTCCCCCTCTTTCTCTCTCCCACTCTTTCTCTCATTCTCTTTCTCTCTCCCCCCTCTCATTCATTCTCTCTCCTCCTCTTTCTCTCTCTTTCTCCCCCCTCTCTCCCAATCTTTCCCTCTCATTCTCTCTTTCTCTCCCCCTCTTTCTTTCTCTCCCCCCTCTTTCTCTCTCTCTCCTCCTCTCTCTCCTTCCCCGTCTCTCTCATTCTCTCCCCCTCTTTCTCTCTCCCTCTCCCCCACTCTCTCTCTCTCATTCTCTCATTCTCTCCTCCTCTTTCTCTCTCTCTCCCCCATTCTCTCTTTCTCTCTCCTTCTCTCTCTCCCCCACTCTTTCTCTCTCTTTCTCTCTCTTTCTCTCTCCCCCTCTTTCTCTTTCCCTCCCCCTTTCTCCCATTCTCTTTCTCCCCCTTCTCTCTCTCCCACTCTTTCTCTCTCCCTCTCCCCCTCTTTCTCTCATTCTCTTTCTCTCTCTCCTCCACTCTCCCCCACTCTCTCTCTCTCTCATTCACGTGCAGGTGGCCGATCTAGTGTCTGCAATGGAGAGCACAATCCGGCTTCTTCTCTCTGCTGTAAGTGCAGCATCAGGATTCCACCTTGGTATATTTGTGGTGCAAGGTAGCCCTCGTTTCCTACTCGGAGCGGTAAACAGCATCTGGTTCGGGGAGCAGCCGGATTTTGCTCTCCATTGCTCTCTCAGCCCCCTGCAAGTTCTCATCTCTCGAGAAGCCCAACCAAAGTTTCCCGCACCACTTCAGGGAGCGCTGCTCGAGAGACGAGAGCTTCCTAGAGAGCAATGGAGCAATGGAGAGCAAAATCCGGCTGCTTCCCGAACAAGACACTGTTTACCGCTCCGAGTCCCAAGCGGCAGGAGATGAGGGCTGCCTTGTGCCGCAAATATACCAAGGTGGAATCCTGACGCCGCACTTACAGCGGAGAGAAGAAGCCACATTTTGCTCTCCATTGCAGACACCAGATCGTATTGCACCACCTGCAAAAATTTCCAAATGTAGCTCTGCCCTCTAACAGCCCTCCTGATGTTCAACTGTTGTCTCTCAAGGAGGATACTTGGCCATCTTCATGCTTGAAAGGATTCTACAGTGTAACAGCAGATGTCTCCCACCTTGGCAGCTTTAAGACTTGTGGACTTCAACTCCCAGAATTCTCCACAATTCCCCAGAATGGGCTAGGCGGGAGTTGAAGTCCACAGGTTGTAAAAGAGCCACAAATGCCCAGCCCTGGGCTAGGGTAGGCTGACGCGACGCAGGTGGGAGGAGGGGCGGTCGAGCTAGCAATTTAACAAAAGGTTCGGTGTGCTGCGAGGCCAATAAATTGCAAAAAAACACCGAAACGTTTGTTAAATTGCAATAAATTGCAAAAAAACACCGAACCATTTGTTAAAGAGCCTTGGTAGTACAGTGGTCTAAAGCACCCTGTTATTAAGACCAGCTGCCTGCAATTACTGCAGGTTCGAATCTCGCCAGGCTCAAGGTTGACTCAGCCTTCCATCCTTTCTAAGGTAGGTAAATTGAGGACCCAGTTGTGGGGGCAATAAGCTGACTTGTATAAATATACAAAAGGATGAAGGCTATTGCTTAGCGCATTGCAAGCCACCCTGAGTCTCCGAAGAAGGGCGGCATATAAATCAAATTAAAAAAAAAATTACTGGCCAGCAATTTAACAAACAGTTCAGCCGAACCGCCTAGAACCGGCAGAATCACACCACTGGACTTGTGTGATGCACAGCCATTTAACTTGGTGCACATCTTTACTTTGGGAATTTGGGAACAATGAAACAGAATAACAGAGTTTATAGGGAACTTGGAGGTCTTCTAGTCCAACCCCCTGCTCAGACAGAAAGCCCTATAACATTTCAGATAAATGGCTGTCCAATTTCTTCATAAACACCTCCAGTGTTGGAGCACCCACAATTTCTGGAGGCAAGTCATTCCACTGATTGTTCTCAATGTCAGGAAATTCCTCTTTACTTGTAGGTTGGTTCTCTCCTTGAATCGTTTCCATCCATTGCTTCTTGGAACACTGCTATCATGTCACCCCATCTAGTCCTTCTTTTCATGAAACCAGACTCACCCAATTCCTTTATATGTCTTAGCCTCCAGTCCACTAATAATTTTTGTTGCTCTTCTCTGCACTCTTTCTAGAGTCTCAAGATCCTTTTTTACATCTGGCAACCAAACCTGGATGCAATATTCCAAGTGGGGTCTTCCCAAGGCCTTTTAAAGTGGTACTAACACTTCATGTCATCTTGATTCCATGGCTCTTAATGCAGCCTATGATTCTGTTGGGTTTTTTTCTTTCTTTTTGGCAACTGTAGCCTACTGCTGACTCATGTTTAAGTGGATGTCCACTAGGACTCCAAGACCCCTGTTGCCCTTACTACTCTTCAGCCAGGTATCACCTCTTCTGTGCCAGTCCATTTGGTTTTTCTTTCCTAAATGTAGAACCTTACATTTCTCAATGTTGATTTAATTTTGTTAGATGGGGCCCAATCTGTCGATCCTTCTATATCTGGAGTGTTGCTATTCCTGTCAATTTGGTCTAGTCTGCAAATTTGAAGAGTTTCCCTTCTATCCCCTTGTCTAAATCATTGATGAAGATGAACAGATCTTGCGAATCCTCCTGTTCTGTTCTTTTTTCCGTGTTCAGGAGAGTCTTGTGTCCTTCGAGGAGGTGGCTGTGTCTTTCTCTGAGGAGGAATGGTCTCAGCTGGATCCTGACCAGAAAGCGCTGCATTCGGAAGTCATGCTTGAAAACCATAGGAACGTGGCCTCTCTGGGTAAGAGTTCTCTAGTCCTCAATCAGAGAGTTCAAGAAGACAAATTATAGTTAATTTTTTTATTAAAAAACCACTAATCAGATATCGTCTCCTGGGAGGGAGAAGGAAAGGATCTTCTCATGCTCCAAGGAAGGAAAGAGTTAATGTCTCTTTGCTTAGATGCTTTCTGTGCCATTTCTTATCTCTATTTTTCCATTTCTATTTATTTATTTATCAAATATCAAATATTTGAACTTATCTGTGGGGGTATTGCAGAAAATCAAAGGACTCAGACTTCGAGATCAAGAGAAGCTTTATTTGGCCAAATATTGCATTCAGTTTTGGTCGCCACGATGTAAAAAAGATGTCGAGACTTTGGAAAAAGTGCAGAGAAGAGCAATGAAGAGGATTAGGGGACTGGAGGCTAAAACAAAGAACAGTTGCAGGAACTGGGTATGTCTAGTTTAATGGAAAGAAGGAGTAGGGGGTGACATGATAGCAGTGTTCCAATATCTCAGGGGCTGCCCCAAAGAAGACGAAGTCAAGCTATTCTCCAAAGCACCTGAGGGTTGGACAAGAAGCAATGGGTGGAAGCTAAGGAGCCTTGGTGGTGCAGCAGACTAAAGTGCTGTTAAAGTAGCACTTAGCTGCCAGCTGCCTGCAATTACTGCAAGTTCAATTCTCACCAGGCTCAAGGTTGACTCATCCTCCATCCTTCCGAGGTAGGTAAAACGAGGACCCGGATTGTGGGGGCAATAAGCTGACTTTGTATAAACAAGAACACTGTTACGATATTTTCAGGATCAGACTCAATAAATAAGTTGAGAATTAGAAGTTCAAATAAATCACTGTTTATTTACATAAGGCATTCTATATTCACTGAATATTCACAGATAGAAGCACAGGAGGGATGTATGCAGCTCCTTATATATACAATGGGTGGAGCTAGATATGGGAGTGGTGAAGTATGAATACATTAAGAAGTGAAGAATAAGTTAACCCCTGATATCCTGTTCATGTACTATTTACATAATGGAGAATAAGGCATTTACTTGTGACAAATCCCCCTCTAAATGCCGATTCGATATATTACAACAATTACATTCAGATTCAGAACAATATAAGACATGTAACTTAGAAGTCAAGTATTTATGTTGCTTAGACGGCAAAGGCTTTGTTAATATATCAGCTATTTGCTCTGATGTTTCGCAATGAACTGCTTTGATAAATCCATCCTGAGATAACTGTCTCACATGTTTAAACTTTATATCTATATGTCTGGACCTTTGTCCAATAGCATCAGATCTAGATATTTCGATAGCAGCTTTGTTATCTTCATGTATGATAAAAGGCAAAGTGGGTTTCTTCCAAATGTCAGAAAGTAAATCATTAAACCATACAAGGTTATTTGCTGCCTTAGATAGACAAACATATTCTGCCTCTGTTGTTGAGGTGGCTACTAAATCTTGTTTGCCAGTATACCAGTAAACTGGACAACCGTTAAGGAAGAATATATAACCAGATGTGCTTTTTCTACATGAGGTATCGCCAGCCCAATCCGCATCGGCGTAACATGTGAGGATGGGCTCCTTGACATTATTAGGTTCCAATAACAAACGGAAGTCTAAACTATTCTTCAAGTATCTTAATATCCTTTTGACAGCTTCCCAATGGTATAGTGATGGTTTGCTAACGTGTCTGGACAATAAGTTGAGAGGCAAAGCAATATCAGGTCTAGTCCAATTGGAAATATAAAGAAGGGAACCTATGACTGACCTGTAAAGTGTATTATCTTTGAATTCAGGGGATGATTCGTCTGTGTTCTTCAAAAAATCAGTTTGCATGGGAGTGTCACAGGGCTTAGCATTACTTAAATTACATTTATTCAAGAGCTCTATGATTTTGTCTCTTTGAGAAAGTTTGAATCCCCTTCTGGTTTTACTGATTTGAACACCAAGATACTTATTTACTTTACCCAAAGATTTCAATGAAAAATGTTCATTCAGTTTTGTTACAAATGTTTCTCTCCTCTCTTTATGTTTACCTATGTACAAAATATCATCCACATAGATCAATACAAATTCTAGGGAATCATCCTCTTTTTTGACAAAGAAACAATTATCAGCAGTAGTGGCATTGAAATTCATAGTTTTGAGTACTTTTACTAAACAATCATACCATCGTTTACCAGATTGTTTCAACCCATATAAACTTTTGTTTAACAACCAAGTTTCATTTTTGTTTGTGTGTTGACTGTGTGGTGCTCTTACATATATTTCTTTATCTAATTTTGCGTGTAAATACGCAGTCTGTATGTCGTATTGGAACACATCGAGGTTGAGTGCTGATGCTATAACCAGAGCTGTCTTGACACTCTCTGTTCTTACTGTGGGGGAGTATGTGTCTGTATAATCCTCGGGATATTTCTGTGCATAACCTTGTGCAACTAATCTAGCTTTGTATAGAGTGTTGCCTCCCTCTAAATTTTTAATTTTATATATCCACCTAGTGCCAATGATGGTTTTGTCCTTTGGTGCAATTGTAGGTGTGAATACATTTAGCCCTCGTAAACTATCCATCTCTTTAGTCATGGCTGATTCCCATTTTTTCTTTTCTTCAGGAAGAAGTTTTAACACTTCCTCATATGTGTTAGGTGTTGATGATTCTCCATCCATATACATTACATAATCTTTGTATTTGTTTGGCACTTGATTTCTGCTACTTCTGATTGTTCTTTCTGGTTTACTATCATTGTCATGTAAATACCTTGCTTCCTTTTTAGTTAATGAATCTGTCCTTATTTTGTGTTGACTGTTTGTCCATGTTTTGATTTTATTTTTATGCGTGTTGTGACTGTGTTCTTCTCTATTCCTTTTTTCTTGGAGTTTAGTGTCTGGGTTGGTGTTTGGGAATATTTCATTAAGATGTATTTTAGACCAGTTGGCCTGTTCATGGAACACAGCCGTTCTGGAAACTATAAATTTGTTATTATTATCAATAAATCTGTATCCTTTTGTACCTGTCTCATATCCCATGAACCTAAGTCTTCTGGATACGTTCTCACCTTTGCACCTCAATTGTTTAGGTATGTGTACGTCTGCAGTGACTCCAAATATGTGCATGTGTGCTAATTTTGGTTTCCTATTATACATTACTTCATATGCTGTTTTATTTACAATGCTGGACCAAGTTCTATTTTGTGTGTAATTGGAGTATTGTAGGGCTTCTGACCAGAATTGTTTACCTAAGCCAGCATCTTCTAATGTGCATCTAATCATGGTTTGTAATGTTGAGTTCTTTCTCTCTACCACTCCATTCTGGAATGCAGAAAATGGGCTAGATGTGTAATGTAACATTCCTTTGTCTTTTAGCCATTGGGAGAATTCCTTAGACATGAATTCACATCCCCTATCTGTCATGATTTGTTTTATTTTAATATTGTGTTGTGTTTCTATACGTTTGTAAAACTCCTTAAATTTCTGAAAGGTTTCATCTTTATGTTTTAATGTGTAAACAAATCCATAACGACTATAATCATCCACAATGGTTAGAAAGTAACGTTTTTTATAAGTGATTGATGGTGTTAATAGACCAACTAGATCCATGTGTACCAAATCAAAAATTTTGTTGGTTGATCTTGTTGACTTTCTAGGTCTGGGACTAGTTTTGAGTTTTGTGGATTTACATACTGAGCATTCCAAATAGTTTTCACAATTTTTTATTTTAACACCTTCTGCATGTTCAGTCATCTTTTGCACTACAGGAAAACTGGCATGTCCTAATTTCCTATGTAAGACATGAGCACACTCATCGTGAATTGGTTTACCTATTTTAGGTTTTTTTTCATTGTGTGTATCTTTGTGATTATGAATTACTTCATGTTCCTCATTGTCACTGTTACTATTGTCTCCATTATCTATGTCATTGTCATCTTCCATATTGGAATCAATGTTGTGTAACCATTTCTCCTTTGTCATTAAATAAGGTAGACCTCCTTTGATTATTACTGTACCTATATTTATTCTGTTTTTCTCTAATGTTGCTTTTCCCTTTGAGAACACAATGTTAATGTCAGAATTTCTGCTTAGTTTTATTGCACTAAGTATGTTATGAGGTATTTCAGGTATTAGTAATACCCCCTCTATTTTTCCTAGGCCAGGTAAGATTACATTCCCTCTACCTATGACTTGAACCTTTTCTTGATTAGCTACTTTGATTACAAATTTATCTTCTACAAATGAAGATAATATATTTTTATTATTTGTAGTGTGATTAGTTGCTCCAGAATCAATGAGCCAATTGTTGTTCTCTGGTTGTTGTACGTTAATGTTGTCATGTTTGTTTAGCCCATTCAGTGAACCAGACTTTCTATCCTTTGAATTATCTCTGCCCCCTCTATGTTCTCTATAGTTGGGTGGACTTCTATACCTATGTCTATCAATGGAAGACTGTCTGTTGTTGTACCTATTTCTATATTCTGATCTATGTCTTTCTCTTAGAATTTTAGGACAATCCCTCCTATTATGTTCTTTGGACCCACAATTGTGGCATCCAAATGGTTCATGATGTCTTTCTTGAAATGCTACCTTTTTATATTGTTTGTGTTCCATGTGGTTGTTACAACGACTCCTCCTTGAATTGTCTTCAGCTATTAGCTTATTGGATAGACTTTCTATGGATAAATATCCTAGATTGATTGTGTCTAAATGTGACATATAATTATCCCATGATGGGTCAAGTGAGTTAATGATAACACTCTTCATCGTTTGATCTGAAATTACCTCCCCCCTTAGGTGCAGTTCTGCTCTAATTTTGTTTAAAGATATTAAATGTTCACTTATGGTAACCCCTGGCTTTATCCTAGAAGAGAAGAAATCTTTAGACATTCTTGTAGTAGTGGCTACACTTTCACTGTGAAACAAATTAAACATGCATTGAATAATTTCTGAGACAGTCAGATTTTGCTTAATACTGTGATACATGGCAGGAGATACACTGGAAATTAATAAGAAAAATGCTCT